TAGAATATTATCACTAAGAATATTACCTACATATTGAAAATAATTTGATCTTAATATACCTTGTGTAACAGTTCGAATATTTCGAAATGATAAACTAACAAGATGCAATACTTGAAATAATATATGGACTAAGAAAACCATTTTTACAACTAATAAATCTAATCATACAAATGTTGTATGAATAGGTGATAGTTATATTTGATTCAAATAGAGCAGTTGTATAAAACCCTCGATCAGCTAGAATCGTAAGTCAAATATTACTATGAATGTCAAGTAGATAGGTGACTCACACATGATATGTAATTATGTTAATGAATTGATTCTTTAATACGAACACGCATTAGTGCAGTAGCTGCACGTTCTTGGCAAAATTTTAAAAATAATCAAGAGCATAGAGCATATACATAATAGAATACAATGAGAATATCCAATAATACGGATTGCTCCTCGTACTGACACAAATGCTTTTGACAGGAATTAGCTATAGCGTAGCATCTTGGACAGAAATGACCGAATAGACAAACACATCATCTTTGCAACGCTTTGGATTATTCAACACATTGTAATTGTGACCAAATGTCGTATTTTGATCCAGTTTAATCTTTCATAAACAAACAATAATGTCGACTAGGTGAATGCTTTACATAGATCATGTTAGTTCGATACATACATCTAACTAAACAATCTGATGAAGATATTCCTCTGGTGATGATGAATTTACATTCAACTTAAGTAGCTGGTTAAAAAGAAATATACTCCTTCATGTTATAGATTAGTACATTGCACAAGTAATATATTACTACATATGAATAGTGATCATTTATCAATTAACATATATAAACAGGTACTTTGAACGGTAGAATCAATGCGGTTCGAATTCGAGTTCAGCAAATTTTAATTAATCGCATCTGGGTCCAGAAATTCTTGGACTCGATGGATTATATTGACCAGATCATGTTATTAATGAAAATGGATTATATACTCAAAATGTGTTGTTTATTGGACGCGAATGATAAATTTTGTAAAATAACAGTAAAGGTTGTGGAAGTGGATATGAGTCTAGAGACGATAAACATTCACTCCTATACCCCAAATTAAAAAAACATGTTGAATATGAACTTCATGATGAGCACTTACAATAACTAATGCCGACTTTATATTTCATAACAAGGAATTTATATTTTAGATGAGCACGAAGATCTTTGTTCAATTTTTCATGTGAATATAGATTTATTCAGATAAACATATTTTCTTGTATTTATTTAATTGTTCTTTATATCAGACTCAAGTATCGAGACTTCATCGGTTGTGTCACTACATTTTTCAAGTAAATTGTTGACAAAATCATTGATCATCGGCCATACAATCATATAAATTCTTCATATTCAATAAATAATTCAGAAAAAAAAACTTCCATATTTCTATTTTGAAAATAAAATCAATCTTCTACTCATCACTCTTATTGAAATATTGATTAAAAAATATACATAGAAATTCTCGACTAATATACCGTTTATTGTAACATTAATAGTCTCATGTTATATTACATAGATTTTATTTTGTTTCAAGATCTTGTTGTTGAGTTTTTTTTTCTTCACTACAATCTTCAATTTTCTGACAAGTTTGACGGGCAATCACAATACAAGTCATCTATTATGTATGTAAATATGCCTTCGTAAAATATATTAATTGTTTTAAGATCTTCTTTTATATTGTTACTCAACAAGACCCAAAAATGACATCGATTCTTTATTATAATATTCATAAAAATAAAATCAAACTATGATAAAATACATCTGCATGATTCTCATTCATCATTATCAATAGTTTCTACATGTTTATAATATTTAGCATAGGTATATTACATGTCAATCGAAACAAACCAATCATATAAATTTTTCTGCGTTACTTTAGATAGATTTATATTAATAAAGATTAAATTTATTTGATTACTACAAGATTTCTATTATTTTTAGTTATTGACATGATTATGACGGTAATATAGAATGAGAATATCTGCAGAATGTTATTTTTTTTTTTTATATGCATAAATATAATGTTGACATAATGGCAATGTTGTTAACCGTTTCATCACTTTCTCGAGCTTTGTGTAATGAGAAAAACTATAAGTTTATTCATTCACATATGGAATAATGCGTATAGGCATAAATACATTTGTATAAAGCAACTGTTACTACTATTTCTTTTTCTATGTATTGATTAATCTTTTGATTGTATTTGATAAGAAAAATGTTTCATGACAACAACTAACAAGTACAAAGTTGAACAGAAAATGATATTTATTAAACTCGACTAAACTAAAATGTATACTATTATAGATTTAATAAATTATTTTTCTGACTTCTTTTCAAATATTTGACAGAGAAAATCAAAGAACAAAATATAACGAATTATTGTATGCTGATAGTTTGCCATAAAAAATCTAGATTTAATCTTTCGTAATAAATTTCAAGACAAAATCGAATACGAACAAAAATTTGTTTTTATCCAACAGTTTTTTTTTTCAGTAGCTATCATCACCACTACTGAACTTGCTTAATTTCAATTGAAAATACAAGTTCAGATATAATTCTGTGATTTGTTCTTATCAGAGAACGTCATAGAACAGTTTTCTTCGTTCTGCATTGCACTTTGCAGAATGATTTTTTTATTGCTTTGTGACAAGGATAAAAATTTGTCTTTATATGAGGCATCATGTTAATAGGGACTAAGAATATAAACAGACGAACAACTAGAATGGATAAGTTTCCTTTTTATTACTTTTTCTAGAGTTTCTCATAATAACGAATAAATATTGTAAATTTGACTTGATGATAAACGTGTTCGTCTTTTGGGTAAATGTCAATCCAATTGAGTTAATTAGTCTTTTCACTGAAGCACTAGTCATTTGTATAGCACATACTTTTCTGACTAATATTGATAATCATGCAAAATCACGATAAGTTTCACTAATAAACAGGAAGTCTATTGGATTCAAATCCAGTAGATGACTTGTGTGTCCTGTAGGGCTCAACTATTATCTACAAGGTATGCATTCTATGATATTTTTTGATTTTTATGCTAGTCAAAAATCTCTAAATTTTTATGCTTTATTAAAGTATAATTAATTATATAATGAAGAAAAAAAGATATGAATAAAAATGTTCAGGTATACGATAAATTTTTATTTATGCAGTAAAAACAAGTTTTGCTTTGACTTTAATAATACCTTGAATATCACGTCGAACTTGTAAATAAGTACCTTTTGGAGCTGGAGCACAAGCCATTTGAGGATTTTGTGGTATATTTCCATAGATAGCAAAAAATTTTGTATGAACATTTAATTGTAATGTTTGTGTATTTAAATTATATTGTTCAAGAGTGACACCTTCAGAAAATGATGATATTGGTGTTTGAGGATAAATTTGCCATTGTGATGGAATTCCATCAAGACCAGGTACTGGAAGTCGATCAAGTGCAATAAAATTAAAATTTGAACGAAATTGTTCAATTGATGAATCTTTTGTTAGACCTTCATCGTTGAAACCAAGAGTTATAGCTACTTGATTTTTCTTACTAGTAAAAAGATTACCACTATGTTGTTCAAATGGAATAGATTCATTAGTTAAATCTATTTCAAGTTTATTTTTATGTGTATCAAGCCATGATTCAATACGAGATTTGATTGAAGCAACTTCAGGAGTATCATGTTCGTCAGCCATTTTAGTTGTTTTGCACTATCAAAAAGAGGAAAGTTATTATGTTGTCGGTATGAAAGAAACAGAACGAATGCAAGCTCTATTTATTATTCGGCAAGGTTACTAATGCTTGCATGTTGAAGTCAATAACAACTAATAATTTTCAATACTCCAATCATATATGTTGTAAATGTAGTTTATGATTATATTGCTTTATAATAATAACCACTTCGAACCATTTCTTACATTGTAAATAAATGAAAATAAAGATTATTCATACAGTAATTGTTTTTATTTGAGACAAAAAAAAAAAATGTTCTACCTTCTATTTGATGCTAAATATAAACTCTTAAAAGCAAAAAAAAAATTCCCGTCACTTCAAATAGCACTTATTCATTCATAATATTCTGTTGTCGATTCAGTATTTTTCTTTTTGTACTTAATATATCGATAAAAAAAGAGACTTGAAGTAGAAAATAAAAAAATGACTTTTTTTTTTCCATTGAATTTTCTTTATCTCAAAGGTTCAAAAGCAAAACATGCATTTTTTAAATTGACTATTAGAAAAATTTATTCTAATTATATTGAATGTTCTTCCAAAAATCAAGAGAATTTCATCATATTGTGTAAATTTTAAGAGATCATTTAATTGAATCTAAATTAATTTCCTCGCTTGTATTAAAACATAATTAAATATGAGACTTGATTCTTGAAACCTCTTTTGTATCCTATTCTTTCGATTTTAAAAAAGCAACTGAGCTTCATAAAAATTGATTAGCAAATAGAACTAAAATAAAGATAGATTCAGTTTTATTCGCAATTCATTAGGTGCAAATTTTATCATACTAAAATATCGTACTAATACAATGATCCGCTCAAGTTCTTATATCATCGGTGATATACATCGACCTTCAACGTACATTCATATATAGATAGTTAACATTTGTAAGATAAATTTCAAGAAACACCATCGAAATTCAAAACAAAAATCAAGCAATTGGTGCACTGGATGAAAAAAAATTGCACATTTGAAAGTGGTACTGAAACAGCCGGTCGAATAATAGAACAATATCATTTTATGACAGACTTCAACAAGCATATGACAATTAAAATAGTAATGTTACACTAGTGATGCTTTCATTTTCAATAAGCTTATATTTTTAAATTTAATTACACAAAAAAAAAAGAAGGAAATACATGGCCAACAAACAAAAAAATTGTCAATACATTGCTGTAAGATAAATGTACAAAACTTTCAAGAAAATAAATATAAACATAAGTTCGTTATAATTGTTTACAATGTCATTTATGTATTCGTTTCAGTGACAATGACTAAAAATTAAAAAAAAATTATATTAATATTATAAAGAATTTCTATAACTAACCTTCTTTTTCATTCCTTCCACTATTTGTTTTGCGACATGAGTAGATTGAATGTTTTGTTCGAGTTCACTATCTTTAAATCTAATTATACCGTCATCATGACTATAAATCAGAAAAAAATTAATAATAAATTTTTCTTTACTTTTCATTACATACTCCATAGGAACTTCATTTTCAGATTGAATATTACTAAATAAACAAATAGATTATATCAACATAAAAAAAAATTCTTTACTTTTTACTACAATCAATACGTGGTATTCGTACAACAACTTTTTGATCCGATTCAACAGAAACATGATTATTATTATTAATATTATTATTTCCAATTTTATTTTTTTCATTTTCACAATCATTTCCATCAAACAATGGTTCACATTTAATAATAACTAAAATATAGATATTTTTATTTCGCAAAAAACTATCAATTCTTTTTTTTTTTTACTTTTCTCTCCTTGAAAAACTGTAATAGCTTCTTGAATTTTATCTATAACGGTTTGAATTTGATCAATTGGAATAAGTGTTGATGTATTATGTAATAATATTGTTGATGCTTGACGAACAAGATCACGATATGAAAGAATTTGTTGTTCAAATATTGTTTGATATAAATTTAAACATTTTTGTAATTCACATATAACAATATCATTTTGTTTTTTTTCTTCTTCATAATAAACATTATGTGCATTTAAATGATATAAACATAAATTACGATCACAATGTATTGAACAACGAAATAAACGTACTAATTCATGAGATGATGATACATTACATCCGGGATCTTCACAACGACCAAGAGTTGGAAGCATTTCTATTCAATAGTGATTTACTTTTTTTAGAATACTCTACTTTTTTTATCTTTTCGATTAGTTTGAAGAAAAACAACAAGAAGTTTAATTGTTAAATTGGATTACAATCACAATCTAAAATAAACATCAGAAAACAAGTTAATGACATTTTTTTTTTTTTTGTAAAAATAAGAGATCAAAGATTATTATTCAATCGATATATTCTATGATGTTATCAAATCGGTATTTCTTCTCTATGTTTTTATTTGAGTAATAACTTTTAATGACTGATTTTTCAATCATTAATTACTATAGACTATAATTAAGAATAATGAAGACAAAAAGTTGTTAACCAAAAGTTCAACAAGCAATAAAAATACAATTCGTCTAGACTTTAAGACAAGGTCAATAATATTTATAAGAATCGTATATATTTCAAGAAAAACAATTTAATATGTTATTAGGACTAAATTTAACAATGATGAAAGCTCTACTTTTATTATAATTGATAATTCTAAAAAAAAATACAGACCATCTTTTCTTACACTTCATTGTTAGAAAATCACTAATGATTTTTAACCAAAAATCAATTTTCATAGCGATCTTCTATTTTTCTTTTTTTTTGAGAGAGAGAGATATGAATGAAACGAAGATAGTGGTAATGAAATTGTTCGACAACGAATTTTCTCCTTATCTGTCAGTATATATCTTCATCTATCTATTGAAACGAACAAAGAACGTCAGAAATAGATGTATCTCTCGTGAATGATCGTCCAATACGCTTGTCAATATAACGTCCAATATTTCTATGATTAATTTAGTGTATCTTCATTTAGGTCAACTGAATATGTATATGAGTAGTATCTTGTCTTAGTATAGAGAAGAATATCATTATATGATATGTTTTCAATAGAATTAAAATAGGGTTTCTCAATGAAATTCGTATTTTTCTTAACTAATGTTTTGTCATATTTAATAGAAAAGATAAAAATCAGTCGACCATAACGGACGATATGTTTTGTCAAGAAAAGAACATACTTGTTTATCGTCAATGAAATCTTTGTCGTCAGAATGTTGAAAATAACCATGTGTTTTAATCATTGAAAATGTCTAAAAATTATAACTAAAATGAGAAAATATTTCAAATAATTTGAGATATTTGATAGATATAAAATGCATTTATTTATTTCTAATAAAAAAAATGAAAAATAACAATTCATTGATTCATCTCTATGAAATATTGAATAAGAATAATCTAGGATAATGAAATTGTATTTTTCAAAAAGTAATATTTAATTTTAACTTGATTCAATTTTTGAATTATCAATACATACAACTAAAAACTACTCAAAAAATTTCTAAGTTGATATAAAAATGTTTATCATCGGATTGAAGCTAACATATCACACATCAATGTTAAAAAGAAAAATCAACGTTTGAAGAAAAACATTTATTAAAATTCTATTTCATCTTAACATTTAGATTATTCTTCGAATTCTATAAACTTCTATAATAAATTGTTTTTTCGTTTTCTTACTACTGAATTTCTAAAAACTCTTAATGGATATTTGAGTATATTCAATATATGAAAGAATAAAATGATTTTCGGTAAGTATCGTTTCATATTGTGTTACATACAATGTATTTGTTAACTAACATTAAGATCAAAGATATAATGCTCGGATACTTATACACAGCAGTGACACAGCAACACTCACATTTTTTGATGTGCTACATCTCGGGATTCTTTGATGTATTCTGTCAACTCGAACAATTAGTGTAATGGGCGTGGTCGATCTAGAGATAAATTAAATGATAAAAGAAACGTATGACTTTTCACAAGTCCGAACAAAAGAAAAATCTAAATAACTACGCATCAATACAAAAGGTTTAAATATATATATATTTTTTTTTGTAACAAATTCATTAAAATTTTATTCAATGTATTTCAGATAAATTTTCTGCATCTAAAGAATTGAAAATTTTACTGATAACCAAATTTAAGTCAGCTACCAGTATAAAACGAGAGCTACATATCAAATTCGAAATCATATCTCAAAGATTTAGTAGCACTGATACTGTTAAGTATCGATTACATTCTGGAAGGCCTGTAGCAATTGCTGAAGAAAAACTCCACGAAGTCAAGGATACTTGTGAAAATGAGCCAGAAAGAAATGTTTGATCTATTACATAAACTTGCTCATCATCATCAACTACAACATACTGCATTATGATGAAAAATATCTTCTTTAACCTATACAAAGTACTTCTACGAAGAAGACTGAATGATTCATTTTTATAAGCATTATTAAATTCATTGAATTTTTCTCTCATCAATTCATTGTCAAAACTGATTTCACGAAATTGATGATATGTTTTTCTAATGTATGGTTTGATTGGTATGTTTTTGCCAATTTCACTTTGTAGTTTACATTATTTTAATGTTGACTTATGGAAATTTGAACAAGAATAAAACTATTTTAATTCTAACTTCTGCAGGTGTCAATATTTTATCTGAAATATATTAAATAAAACTGTAATGAATATGTCATCTAACTGTAAAAAACATGCTTTGAATGAATCCGTTAAATTACTGAGAAACTATTCTGTTTTGTTTTTCATTTGAACTTTTGAAACATCTTCTGATCTAATTCGTTTTCGATCGAGTCAATGATTAAGAGATTTCGAACAAACATATATGAAGAATTGGAATGGATAAATCTAATATTTTACTAAATCAAAAAAAAAATGTGAGTTGAATTCGAGTTTACAAAAGGTTTGGGTTAAAAAGTAATGAAAAAGCTTTGAAAACTCATCGAAATTGATGAAAGTTTTTTTTTTTTTTTTATTTATGAGACTATAAAAAATCATTGAAAAATCAAATAAATTTTTGTTTTTTTGTAAAGTTCATTAGCTTATTCAACACACTTAAAAATCAAGCTTAGAAAAATTAAATCGAAATCAATTAACGATGTTGAATCATTTCTAAAGTATTATTATGTTCAATCTCACTCATTGGATTCGTATTTAATATAAGTGTGATATTACGATTTTCATGATTATTATTTAATGCAATAAAATCATTATGATCAGTATCTAAATAAGGTTGAATTTGTTCTGTTGTTGCATCATATGTAATAATAATTTTTCTTATTTTATTATTGAATTCTTGTTGATCATTAGGTGTCAATTGTTCTGATGAATCTGCTGAAAATCTGAGTAATTTTTGATATCGATAATGATGGAAATATTTCGAAATAAAATTCGATAATGATAAACTTCTATTATTTGAAAATAATATATAAATACATGTTATAGTAAATATTAAACAACCGATTATGATAAGAATTAAAATTAATGATAAAAATGATAAATTTTTTTCTGATTTATTTTTATTTAATTTTAAATTTTCTTGACATATTCCTTGTGGAATATTCATTTGTATTTCGCCTTCCATTTGTTGACAATTGTTGATTTTATTTTTAAATGAACATCTATTTTCAGTATATTCAATATCATCAAAAGACATATTTGAATAACAAAATGGTGTTAAATTTTCAAGAGTATTTCGAAGAAGTTTACGATAAAGATGACGATATAAATAATAAATCGTACATGAACATTGATTATGAAATAAAAGTTTAACTAATATATGTGATGGAATATTTGATATACGACAAAAATCATTAGAAGATAATGATCGATCAATAATTTCTATACGTTCTAATGAAGTTAATTGATTAAAACGTAAATAATAATTGGATGAATTTATTATTTGAAAAACTAATTTTCCATCTTGACCTATTCATTACAAAAAACAAAAGATAATTAATATGAACAAAAACAATTCAGGGATGTTTGATATGGATACGCACCGAACTCAAAGATTCAAATGCAGTCTGATATTACAAAAAAAGTGTGACACTGATATATACATTCGTATTTTTTTCTTTTGCTTCTTAATGTGTTAATAATCAAACATTCATATAAAAGCTAATGTCTTTTGTCGTATAACTGGCAAGTGATCTTATCTGTGTTGTAGCTATTGTGATCGATGAAAGTATAGATAAAATCAGTTTAAATTTTCTCACTTGAACGTGCTATTTTAATTATAGATATGATAGTTAATAGTGTACTGCAAAAATTCTCACATGAACAAAGCTATTTTATCGTACCGAATCCGTACCATAAGACCTAACATGAACTGTTTCATCAGAATATCAAAACATAGTTCAGATTCGGTACACGCCTAGTTTATCATCAATAATTTAGTATTAAACTGGTCTTTTACGAAATTACTGATGCTTATTTTTTCTTGATCGAAAATGACTTAACGTATTTCTAAAAGATGATTGGCTAACAGTAAAAAAAAGTAAATATTTTATTGGTAGTTATGAATCATTGAAATAGATACATTCTGTGTTATCTCCATTGTTTCATACTGAAATAAACATATTGGAAAATCTCAAAAATGATTTGTAGAAGTTACTATTCTATTGAATGAGATATAACTTGTTCATTTTATATCTGATCATAGATAAGTTTCTATGTGTCGAAGATGACGATACGCAATAGAAACAAACTATCACGTCTTGTTTTGTTGACAACTGTAATATAGGAACACTGGAAGAGAAATCTAAATTTACAATTCATCGATTTCTATACGCTTAAGCATGAAGTCCGAAGAAGCGCCACTCCCGTAGATTGTGGTAATTGTACCACGTGAAATCTGGCTGCATTCATAAAATGAAATGTTCGTTCTCTGAGAATTTAAAATTGTTTTATAGAAAAGACAAAACCAATCTATTCTGATTAAAAACATCAAAGTCAACTGTTCCGAATGACGATTCATAGAGTTTGATTGTATGTTGACTAGTCGACATTTGTTCTTATCAACGTTAGTGTACCAAGGTTCCTCACTTGATGTTCTTAAAGAAGGTCAAGGTAAGCTGAATAATTCGATAACATCAAAAGCTATTGATGTGTCATTTTGAATGCTCAGAAGAGGAGATCTTCGAAGGTTTTTGTCTGATACTATACAAGATACAAACTATTTTAAAATTTAATCATCTTGGTAAACCAGTGAAAGCATACATGAAAATGATGTTTCATTTCGTTGCAGTTTTGATATTGTTATATGTGTGAGATAGAGAGATTTCACACCTATAGCTGTCTATCGAATTTCGTTGATTTTTAGCAAATTTTTTGACACTTTATCAAAAGCTTTTTCTTTTATAATAAAAAAGTTCTTGAAATTGAGTAAATGAAAGCTCTATGAAAAGGTTATACCTTGATTAATGTTAGAAAAGGCATTCATAGCCATTTGTAAAGCACCTCTTGAATATTGAAAACGAATTGTTAAAATACTTGAATTATAAATACTCATATTATTAATTGCATAATCATCAAATATTAAATTTTGTCCGTATTTAATTGAAATATCAATTAATGAATGATTTTTTTGATGAATATTATTTAATGAATAACGAGAAAAATAAACATCAAGCGAATTTATAATAGTAATAAATAATTTTGATTGTAATTTTTGATATATATTTATAAATGAATTTGATGTAAAAAGAAAATTTTGTCCATAATTAATTTCAAATTGAAATATTGAATTCAAATCTTGTTTTATTTGATTAAATGTTTTATTTGGTAAACATAAATCATTTGTTAAATTATAAATTGATATTATTAAATATGATTTTACTTGAAAGAAAAAACATACTTTCAAACAAATATAAAAATATAATAACTTACATTGAGTCACTCTATCGAATAAAGTTTGTTCAATTGTTAGACTTTGAAAATTTAATAATGATAAATGAAAACGAGATTCATCAAATTGATGAAAATCAAAAAATGAATTATGTAAAAATGTTGCATATTGAAAATGATCAAAATTTATTATTAATTCACTTGAATATTCTTGTTTTATATGATTAAAACTATGTTCATTTAAAAGAACTTGAATAAAATTTGCAAAATATAATTCCATATAAGAATAAGATGGTAATAGAATTGATCCTAATAATCAAATAAATGAATAATAGAGAAAAACAAAAAAACATGACAAGAATAATTTTTAAAAATCTTACCTGCATTTGATTCAAATTGAATTGTATCTTTTGCATGAAGAATTAACAATCGAAATCGACTTTCACGATGAAATTTTATTCCCTCCAACGCATGTTGTTTTATCGTTAAAATAGTAGATGTTACATTGAGTATATTAATATTTAGTTTCGATTTTGATTGAATTTCTATCTCGTCAAAGACTTTTGTTGGTAATATGGATGAAGAATATTTTATTATTTTAATCTCTAATGTTCGACCTTGATTAATATTCATCTTTGAAAATGATTTTGACGAAAGACTATTTAATTGAGCAAATTGAATTTTAAATAAAAAATTTTCATCATCAAAAAAATCATAAAAATGAAATGCTTCCATTGGTAAAATATTAACTTTTTCATCAAAAATTATTGTTTTATAACGATAACATGTACGACATTGATTAGGTAATGATGAACATTGAATATAATTTTTTGTTAAACTACATATACATTGATGATGTTGAAGATCTTCATCATCTGGACAAAATGCATTTGTAATATTATTAGATGTAAATAAAAAATACCAAAAAATGAAGAGTAACAATGACATTTTCGTATTATATGTGTATGCGTTTGTCTTTGTTTAAGTATATTTATATATATATGATTGCATATTATAACTCAAGTGTTGAATATGTAAGAGAGGTCATTTATCATGTGCATATTGTATTTGTGAAATAGAGAGCGAAGAAAAAAAAAGAAGTACTAAAAGAGAACAAAAAATTGAATTGTTTTAAAACCATTACTCTTGATTATTGTTATATGATGATATTCTATTTTTGAAATTATTTTCATTCATGTTGAGGGCACTAAAAAAAGAATGAAAGCAATACTTTTGCTCGAAGTTTTTATTTCTATTTTCTATGACGTAAAACTCTTGTAATACGATTAAGGCAAGGAGAAGAAGACTATCGGTTAAATAAACTTCATATCAGACTACTCTTTTTTTTACTAAGCATGTGAATTTGAACAAGAAAAACACATCATATTGTTTGAATTAATATCCTGGAATCCAGCTCGGAACATAGATCCGAGTGCAAACTCGTCGGATCTGTTCCAGTATCCAGTACAATTTCATACTCGGACTCGACCTGACTATGAATGAGATTTCGATGTTTCAAAATATATTTGCTTTTTCAAACTTCCATTTATATAACAGCATAGGAATGAAAACCTGAGTCATTTATTGTACTTGAGAACAACAGGTCATAGAAATAGAAAACTATATTGTTTTACTAAAAGAATTCATTGCTAATGAAAATTTATCTGCGGATTATGATGAACCATACGACTAAGAAACTAAATACATGAAAAAGAAAATGAATTATATTAAAAAAGATGCATATATATTATCGTCATGAAAAAATTCTTTATGTATATATTCACAATTAGGACATTTGATACCAACATTCTATTCCATTTCAGCCTCATCAGTAACAAACAAAGATATACTTAACATGAATGTTCGAGTTTTAGAAACAGAAAGACTCCAAGAGAATGTTGAATCGCTTGTTTTCTTTTTGTGGAATTTGAAATGATCTCTGTTTCTTGTAGCTATTCAAGCAAGGAACTAAATATTATGATGTTTCATATAGAATGAAAGCTTGACAACGGTACTGTGCCTGTTAACGTATCTGTCTAATATCAATTCATTACGGTCTAGATCCGACTACGAAAATTCGCATCATTACAAGACATTAATTTGAATTGATATGATAAATAAAGTCAAATCACATGTTTAAGTCATATTTAAATTGAAGAATATGTGTTAAACAATCTTGAGATAAATCTACGACTAGTCGTGTTTTAAGCAACTGTTTTCAGGATTTCTTTTTATGATAATTTCCAGTGTTTGTTTAAACATTAAATATGGCATATAAAAACACTTATGAATATGAAATAATGAAAATCGGTGAAGATTATAAACAAAAAAAAAAATATTATGTTGTATGACGTATTTTTCATTTGCACTATCGTATTTAAATAAGCTCGAAAGCACAAAATTATTTTGCACCTGTTTTTTTCTTATCGATATTTTGGAATTTGTAAAAGTTTTGACGAATGAGACGATTATTATGATTTGATTCTTTTTTGCCGCCGACAAGTATAACGTAGATAAACTGTATATTCAGTACATAGCGTGAAAAAAAAACATTATTGCATTCACAAATGACCTAAACAACCTGTCAAACTCTAAAGTAAGTTTGAATGTAAAAAATGAACAGAACATTAACGTATTGTATACTATGATAAGCGATATGTCAAGAATTTCATTTAAAATCAAACTCCAGATTATTTTCTCTTACCTCAATTGTTAATTGAGTCCAAGTTGTTTAGATATGAATAAAATAACAAATCGATGACTAAACAAATTAGATATTACTTTTAGAATAAAAATATATTCTATTGAAACTCTATAGGATAAGTTGTCAACATTCAGACCGAATTCATCTTATATTATAGAAAAATATATATGACTATTCAATTTCATAGGACATTTTTAAGGAATATATATATATGGTTTGCTGACTTAAAATCGATATGAGAAAGTTTTTCAATTACAAATTTTTTATGAATTGGTAGAACAAAAGCATATCAAACAATATTGTCTTGTTCAGCATGCATAATACAAACTGTTATTAAATCTATGATTTATTTGATAGTCATGTATTAAATCCCATATCAAACCGCAGAATTCATGGAAGCATATTTATTGAAGAGAAATAGTTTCAGTAACATGTGATGCCAGAGTAATTGCACGAATGTCAGCATCTATTTCTCTTCAATAAAAGAGTGCCAAAATAAATTTTTTTAACCAAAATATAGCGCCTTTTCTTCTTTTTCGAATTGTATATAACATATTTTTATAACATGTTCACAAACGAAGCAAAGCAATAGACAAGAAAAGCATCCGTACTTTTTGTGAGATCCAGAAAAACGTCGCAAAATGATGATTTCTATATCTATCTGATAAATAGGTTCTGAAAATAATATTTTTTTTATTCGTCGATAGAAACTTTTCAACCTCTTTTGAACAATATATGATTTATATTTGTCATACATTCATAAATGAAGTGACAGAAGAATAAAAGAGACACACTCGTACAATGAACTCATAATTTTTACATGAAATAGTCAAAAACATCTCGTTAGACAGTAATTAATTCAATTTCTGTGGAGCCATTAGCAAGATCTTGTAAAATTGTGTTTACTTTGACTTTTATAAAACTGTTAAAAACATCTTGTAAAACAACAACTTATTATAATTAACTACCATTCACAAGGTGTTTTTGACGAGTTCATATAAAAATTACAAATTTATTGCATTAGTGCTTCTTCTTCTTTCGCTTATCTCACTTCATTTATGAATGGATGACAAATATGAGTCATTTATCGTTTGAAAGAGAAGAAAATTTCCTTTCAACTGATAAAAAAAAAACATTCATTTCAAAACCTGTGTATTGAAGGGATATTAATATCGACATTTTATGCGGTCCTTGTATTGAAAAGTATAGATTCCTTTTAATGGTACTTCTCTTTTCTGTTGTTTTGTTTCGTCTGTAAATATGTTATAAAAATATATTACATACGATTCGAAAGAGAAGAAAAGCTTGTACCTTTTGGTAAAAGAAAAATTTTCTTTCAGCATCCTTTCATTGAAGACAAATAGAGGCTAACGCAGTTTGTGCAATCACTTTTGCATCACATGTTATAGGGTATATATTCATTCGATTTTCTCTCTACCCTACTAGCGAATCAATATAACCTATAATAATTGATAAATCTCTATCTGATGATTTTTAATAATAAAGTATATGTTTAAATCTTTTATTATATTGGTTTTTACTGTTCGAATCAACAGCTAATTTTTGAAAAACTAGCTAATTAAATAGCTCATATTCGCTGTTTTTGTTGAATGTTACATTTATATGTAATGTAATTGTTTTCTTCTTGTTGTTGTTGTTGAATATGCAAATGTATCAATTTAATAATTTCATTTACATTAGTATCTCGAATATTAAGTGAATCAATATGATATTGAATATTTGTTGAATCATCTATTTGAAATCGTTTAAAAATATGTTGACAATTAATGTATGTTTATAAAATTTTTGATTGCCATTATTAGCATAAGTTTAGATTAAATTTTCTATATGCACATACGAAATTTCATTTTCGAATGGTGTATTTTATTGACGTAATCAATTACTTGCTATTCGAAATTCATTATCAGCTTGTTTACGTGTCACGTTTGTTGTCATTCTATCGATATTGATTAAAGCACGACTAAATCTATTCCATAATTCATATTCAATTATTCGAAAATTTTGAATCAAACTCGTTTCATTCTTTTGGAGTTTTTTTTCTTCTGTAAATTTTTCACTAATGTTATTTTCTCATTGACATATTATCACTTCCGTATTATTTAAATTTCGTATTAATCTAACTTTTCCGATTTCCAATCGATGGATATCTTGTTTAATTTCTTTAATATTTTCATTGAATTGTTTATTAGTAAAATATTTCGAACAACAAGCTAAACTAACATTCATTCATAATTAATGAATGAAAATTCCATCAACAAGTTGATTAAACTAAAAATACTGTAGTATTGTTTAAGAGAATTTTTCTTTTCTTCCAACTAGATGATTTATATTCATACATCAAGATTAGAAAGTGAAACTAACATAATGAAGGAGTGTCCAAGGAATGAGAAGTAGATAATTCTTCTCGATTCCCTACAGTTCTATAATTACTACAATAAAAGAAGAATCATATTCACGATATTTTTGCTCTCATATTCATATTCACAAAGGAATTTGCGAACATAAATGTGTAAATACGAAAACTATTGCAGATATAGTATCACTTTGACTTTTATGAATGGCAGATCTACGAAGAAATTACTGATCTGGTCTCATTTCTTCGAATAATCATCATAGCACAGTTGCAGAATTCCTCAACAGCTTCAAAATTCCTATTTCTCAGTTTTTGGACATATAGTTGATTGGTTCATAACAAAATTAAACACATCTCTACCTTTCAATCACTTTCATATCTTAAATCTGCTTAGTATTATTTTAACGTTTGATGTATACAATGATTATGATTTAATACTTTCGCTCATCTTTATTGTTTTTTTTTCATATTATTGCACAAAACAAAAATAAAATAGGTGGTACGTCGTTATAGATAAAATGACGAAAAAAGAAAAAATATATTTGAAAATGGAGACCAGATTTTATTGTTGATGAATATTGTTCACTTGTAAATATTTATTTTTCGAATGAAAGATCATAAAAATAAAGAGAGGGATTCATTTTTGAGATTCATTGACTTTGTTTTTGATTTACCAATCATTAATACTATAATAGAAAAAAAAAAGTATTGTTAAAAAAAAAACTTCAATTGAAAAATTCAAACATTATTCATATATTTTCTGAGCATTCGTCTAAGATTAACTCGTTCAGATGATGTTGATTGAAGAGTAAAATCAAGACGCTGTGCATCTGTTTGATGTTCTTTATTATGAACATCGACATATTGAATTTCACTTTCATAACCTGGTTTTGTCACTTTTATTACATATGTACCATCAACAAGTAAACGATAATAATCACCATTAGGATCTAAATAAATATATTAAAAATTGTATTTATAAAATGAATATGATTTACTTGATGTTACATCATGATCAATATATTCCCAATTATTATTAACTAATTGATAAACTTTAATACTTGCATTATAGATTGGTTCACCATCTTCATTTTCAATAATTCCTTTAATACCTACATGAGTCTAAAACAAGAAAAATAAAATACAAAAAAATCTTTTTTTTTCAAGAAAAGTAAAATTTTCTTGTTTTTTTATCTTTACCTGCCACATAAAATTAATAAGTGCATTTTTATTTTCATTCCAAAGATTTGGTAAATCTTTACCAGGTGGAAATTTACGACAACCAAGTTCTAATGTTAATTCAAAACAATTGCTAGCTAAATAATTAAAATCTTGCATTCCACCACATACTGGATACCTAGACAGAAAAATATGTAACAAAATAAATAAACATTCAATTAAATAATTTTACCAAGCTGCACCATTAGTTATTCCTTCGGGAAAGACATCATTACCACATGGTTTTTTTGGTGATTCCATATTTGTATTAGCATGTGAATAAGATTCTGCTAATTGTCTAAAATATTTCAACGAATAGAACGAAAAAACTGACAAAAGAAAAAAAAAAAAGATGATTTACTGAAATAATTGATCATCAGGTGATGGTGAATACATTCGAAGATGATTTGCTGAGTCATCATATGGATAATTAGCAACAATATCACCATTATGTAGATTTGCTGATAATACAAATGGATTTTGCATGATCCAAAAAGCAACTGTTACTGTTTCAACTTGATACTAAAAATAAAATTAAATATAAAGATTTTTTTTGTTTTTCTTTTTTCAATTTAATTTTCTTACTGGTTGATCATGACAATCTTTTCCAGATGTTAATGCAACAAATGTTTCAAGATTAAGATGATTATTTCGATGATTCACCTCTTGATTATATGCATAAATGAATTCATCCAAATCTGGAAAATTTCGATTTAAATCAACTCCATTTGCATTTGTTCGACCAGCTGTCCAATCAATTGTACCATGTTCCTGTAGTACAAAAGAAAATATTTAGTTTTTGTATTTACAAAGTAAATAAATAAGTATTCAAACTTTTAACATTGTTTCAATATCTTTAAATTGACCAGGTTTTGATGTATTCCAAGCATGTTGCACAGCAATTTCCCAACCATCTATAAAAATTTGATTTTGTATAAAGTGTTATATTCAATATTAACTTACCTGGATTCATCGCTGGTAATAGATGAATACGTGTATTATCTACTAATTTTTTAATTTGTTCATTTCCATTTTTATATTCATGACAAAGATATTCAGCCAAAGTTAATACTAATTCTCGACCAACAACTTCATTTCCATGCATATTTCCAACATATTTAAATTCTGGTTCAAGTAATTCATGAGTTTTTGGATTGTCGGAAAATACAATAACACGTAATGGACGTTTTTCAACTGATTTTAATGGTAAATCATATATATATGTTATTTCAGGACATTTAGCATGAACACGATCGAGTAAATCAAACATTTGTTCCATATTATGATGATTCTCATTTTGTTCTTGACCGATAGTAAGAAAGATATGGGACGAAATAAGGATTATATTCACAAGAAAAAGCGATATCGAACCCATCGCTATCTACAAGAAGAAAAAAAAAAAAGGAAAACTATAAATTTTTGGTGAAAGAAAACAGCAACAGGAAACGAAGCCTACAGCAATATGAAATGCGAAGAAAAAAGAAAAATATTTTTTTTTTTTTTTCTTCTTCGCCGAGAACTAACGTTCTTTATTATTTGTTCATGTTCGTCTCTTATTTCTACTTGATGACGTTCTCTGTAATCGTCCTACACAAAAGTGTTGACGTCGCTGATAAGAAACGAGAGAAAAAGAAAATAGAATAGGAAAAAAAATTCTATAATTCTTTCTTTCTTTTTCAGACCACATATGACATTCAATAATATTTTTGGGTCACACAGGAAATAAAAAATGAATAGTAGAATGACAAGTTTATGCGTTAAAGCAAGGATTCAACTATTGATACGCTTCAATAAGAAAAAAAAATATGTAAGCGAAAGAAATATTAATTATACAGTACAGACACATACTTAATATATTTCATGTAATTGGTTAAAAATTAGTTATCAATATAGACTACATAAAAAAAAAACAAAATAAAACATTATCGAAATTCCTAATGTCTAAAAAAAGAACAATGTTTATTTAAATATATAAAACTAAATCTCATGATGTCATGGTAATTGTTATTTTTATATAACTAAAGTATTTCAATTTGATTTTTCCTTTTAAATTAATGTCATTATCTACTACATCATATAAAATATGTCGTCGTCCTAATTGTCGTCAAACTGGATGTAGTTGTACTCAAACTCTTCTTACACGTTCACTTAATCGTGATTTACTTTCATTAAAATCAAAATCATATTTTTCGGATTTTATAATTCAAGTTGGTGAATGTATTTATCCTGTTCATCGATGTATACTTGCTGCACGATCAAATGTTTTTCTTACTATGTTTCAACAAAGAGATACTATTGAAATGACTTCATCTATTCTTGTTTTAAATAATTATAATTCATCATCTATTGATTTATTTCTTCAATATTTTTATTCAGATACATGTGTATTTACAGATGAAAAAAAAGCTGAAGAAATACTTGAATTAGCTGATAAATATAATGTTGAAAGTTTAAAAATTTTAACTGAAGATTATTTTATTTTAAATAAAGATAATTGTCTTCGATTATTAATACTTGCCGATCGACATACAGCGACACGATTAAAAGATTCAGCACTTAAATTTATTAATAATAATTTAGGTTTAATTTTTTCTGAAACAGGTACAGCTGATTGGAGAACATTTCGACAAACATATCCAAATTTAGTTGCTGATCTTTATGAAAAAGCGATAAATTTACATTCAATATTATTGGTCAAGAAATGATTATTTTGACAAGTCATATGAATAATAATAATAAAACAAAATTATTATTACTCCTACACTAAGATTTACTTGGTTTAACAATAAACCAATCAATAGAAAATAAAAAAAGTGTGTCACTAGTTGATGAAAATAGATTTTTTTCCAAAGAAAAACTCTTTCTTAAAGTACAATAGATTTCTTTAGGAAATTATCTATTTTTCAATGACAATAAAAATGATGAAACAAGTTGAAAATTTAAATCTTTCACAAATTTATTCCGCTCAATTTGATAGAGTTCATCATCGAGTTGCCTTAAGAAAACTAGTTTGCCACCTTTTCCAGCGTAATGTTCGACAGAAAATTATAAGAGAAAAGAAATTTTCAATTTTGATGGACAGCGATCTTTGATAATAAGCTAATAAATATTTTTTTCTTTTCTCTTTCTATCAGACTTTTAGAAGATCTTTTCCTGATACTTAGTACGCAACCGTTTGAAAAAAAGTAATTTAAAATTAGGCCTCTGAAAGAAATATTGTGTAGAGTCAAAAGAATATTTTTTAAAGCTCGACAGAAAGAAGAGAAAAAATGTCCACTAATTTGTTACCGAAGATTGCTATTCATTGAAATTTGCAATTAGATTACTCCTTCGAATTTCCTTTCGAATTTTGCAGCTTCAAAAGAAAATAAAATGTTTACATAGGATAACAGAGATAAGCAGAGTTTCGAATCATGAATTTCTTCATGTCAATAGAAAAACCGAAAACAATTATAGATTATTATTTTATCATCAATGTTAAGTTAAATTTTTTAAAATCTTTCTAAGACGGGCATATTGCTAAACGAAACAAAATTCTTTTGAAACTCTGCGAAAATCTTTTTTTTTGTGTGCATAGATATTCGAACGATGTGTAGAACTTGAATTTGTTAGAACAGAAATTTTGTACATAGATGAACAGAAAACTATATAAAAAACGAATAATACATGTCATCACTCATCAAAGATCCAAGAAAACAGTTCAGAAACAATAAATCTATGATGGAGCTATGAGACCTGAGTAGGCTCGTATATTAGATAGATAATGGTTTTCATAGGAATTATTAAATGTAAAAATTTTGTATTGCTGTTTTGTTTTCATTTTCTTCTGACTGGTGACGAATTATTACAAAGATAATCGACATTTTATCTGTTACATACTCAACAAGTTGACAAAGCTATGTTTTCCGAATACAGTAAATTGTTATCATTTTATTTGACGCTTTCCATGACAACAGTCATCACTAAACGATCCTTCAGTGGTAGGAAATGAATGAAAGCATGTTGACATTGTGCCATGACATCAACAACGTTTAAGCCATATTGTTATTTCTCATATTCATAAAGCAAATATTAGATTTTGTTGAGTTGAACAGCATCTGTTGTGATTTTATTTCAAAAAATGCAATATAAAAAAAAAAAATATTGTTTTGGTTATGTATAGTTTTATTTCTTCTGAGTCTGTTTTGTTTTTATTGTCTTTTGTTAAACTGCATTTCTCTTCTATTTCGTTAGTTTTGGATTTCTTTCAAAATAATAAAGCATCAAGTAATTATTACATTTATATAGAATTAAAATCAAGTAAGAAGATGTATGACTCGTGCCATTATAAATCAATAAAGAAGATCAGTTTTCAGTACATTCTGCGGGCTGTGATTTGGTTGAAAACCAAAGACAATCCTAAACTGAAACCGTTGTATCCTCTCCTGATTTTCAAGAACATTTTTCTATTAAATATTTGTTCATTCTTTAAATTTGATCTTCATTTCATTGAACTAATATTAAATAACAATGTCTACATTTATATCTTTGTAAATAGATTAAATTTTTCTCTTTATATTTTACTACCACTGAATATTATTGACTACAGAATTGCACATATAAAAATGGTTTTTATACAAGCTCTAAGTAAATGAGCTTTAAGATATAAATTGAATAAAAACAGAATGACAAGTACATTAATATATACAGACATAAAATGAAGAAAAAAAAAAAAGAAACATAATTAATAAAGGAGAAAAATTTATTCATGCATAAAACTCAATAGCATGAATTTATAACATTCAAATTATCACATTAAATCTTTTAGTATTCATTCAAAGTAAGCATCATGTATTCGGGCTATTTCACGTAAGATTGATGTTTGCATAAGAAAACCTCGAGCATTATATGTTACATCTTTCCATAATGCCATACCCTATAAAGAAAATATTAAATAAAATCTAATTTTTCCTTTAAAAAAAACAACAAAACTAGTTCTCATACATCAGTACGTAAATTTGGAAATGACATTGTTGAACCATAATGAAAATTCCATATTTCTGCTTCTACCCAGGCATTATCTGTATTTCGTACATCATCAATATATCCTAAATTTTTTTCAGAACAATAAGATTATAATGAAATAAAAGTATGCAATAAATTAATTAACCTCGATAAACCATATGAGATTCAAATCCATTTGGTCTATCAGTACCTTCAGATGAACGAGCAAATGATTCAAAATGCTATTAAAATCAAATTAGTATTTTTGTGTGTAAAATAAATTCTTATTAAATTACTTCAATCATATCTCTTTCTTGTAAAGTTAAACTATGTTCAGAATCATTATCTTGAAAAGCAAGTTTATTAAAACTACGACAAACAGCTCCATAAGGTGATTCAACACCTAAAATTTTTCCCTAAAAATAAATGATTACATTGAAACAAAAATCTTTTCTTTTGTTCTAAATTTAAACTTACTCCTGGTAATTTCCAATCATTTGTTAATTTATCTTTAAATACTAATGCTTCTAAGATTCTTTGTCCATCAACAATTGCAAATTGTCCACGATGTCTTTTCCATCGAGTTATTATTCCCATAATTGATTTATTTGGACCCCAACGTATTAAGGCACCACGACCACGAACACCTGTACGACCCATTGGACATCTTAATTTTAGAAACAAAAAATTATTATTAAAATATACTATTTAAACAAAAAACATACAATGGTATTAATAATTGAGTATCTAAACGATAGACAAGTGGTGATTTATCTACAGGATTTGTTAACCAAGTTGTACGATCAACAATCATCTAAAAATTTTATTCAGATTATCTTTCTTTTCTATTTATTTTTGAATAAACCTTTTTTCTATCTGGTAATTGTAATTCAACAATTTGATTCCATTTATATTCGAATGAAGGCATTGTAAAATCAGTTGTTATATTTGTTACTGCTGGCTCAATAGCTCCAAATGTACCGGGTTGTGTAAGTGGTGTTGCTGGCGTTACATATGTATCAACATGGAATGAAGATTGATCATCTGTTGAACTTATTTTTAATCTAAAATAGATTCTACTTTAGATTTAAATTAATGAAAATAAACACATACAAATTCGGCTCTACAAATGGTCGTTCATCATCTCGAAAGCAATTGTGTTCTTTTGGTAATGTTATTAAAGTTGGATCATATAAATCAAATGGAATCTATATTTTCATTTATATATAAATATATAGATTTAAAAAAAAATATATTATTTTACCTTCCACGGAATGTATTTTTCAGTAACTGGAAATCTTGCTTCATTTGTATAAACATATGGTGATTCTCTTGATAAAATATGAATAAATTTTTGACATTCAGGTAATGATTTATCTTCTTGTTGAATAGTTGCACGAATTTTTTCAAGTAATATATGTGAATCAGTCATTAATTTTTCTAATGTAACAACACGATCATTTATTTGTCGTAATGATTTTCGTTGTACATCCATATCTTTTTGTACATTTGTTACACTAGAATTAATGTTTTTTTTTTCGATTAAGAGTAAAAAAAGAAATTTTTATTTTACCTATTTGATAAATTATCAAGTTTTTCTTGTACTTTATCGGCTTCTTGTGTTTTAGCATAATATTCAATAGCTTTATATTTCCAATATAAGTTTGCTTCACTATCTTCCCAATTTCGTTTTGAATCTTCCTAAAAAAAAAAGAAAAGATTCGTTTATTTTTCAAGTCATAAAACAAAACAATAATATACAAGTTTTTGTCGATGATTATCAGTAACTTGTCGACATGGTTTACAATTAAGTAAATATCCAAAAAATGAATCATCTTCATTTGTTTCCTTTGATTGATCTGTACCTTGATTATCATCGGCATTTAATGCATTTTGATCATTATTTATAGTACTATTATTAGCTTCAGTTAGATGTCTACGATTACGACGAGATGCATTCACTCTTTTATCAGAACATTCTTTTAATTTAATAATACATCGACGACTACCATTTGTTATTAACATACCTGAAATAAGAAGAAAACAATTTTAATAATTCAAATCAAAAACATAGTGAAACGAAACAAATTTCACGGTACATTTTATAATCAGTAAAATATTTAACTAAGATTCACCTAACAAAAAGATTAAAGAGTCTCAAAAAATAGTGCTATATCGATTTTGAGATAAGTTTAAAGTTCATTAGATAGATCCTATTCGGATTAGAGAAAGTCTTAAAGAATTCATGTTCTTATGTCTTTCTTCTTGAGTGATGGTCATTTTAATAAGTTTTTTCATACAAACACTATACTCTTTCTTAGGTCAATTTCACCACCGACTTACAAATTTAATCTATATACTAATAAAGTTTTCAATGAGATTAATTTATTTACAAATTATCAGTCTTTCTTGTATCTCTGATCCTAAGATAATATAAAAACAGTTTCTTAAAATAAGTGCTACTAGAAACTTTGATACTTGAATAATGAACTCATCCTATTGAGAAGTTTATTTATACGAAGTTTTAACTGCAACATCAATTATATAACAAAAAAAAATCATTAAAATGACTATAATCCAAGAAGAAAGACCTATGAATGCAAATTCTTTTAGACTTTCTCTAACCTCAATAGGATCTATCTAATGGAGTAAGATTCATCTTACAAGCAATTTAACACTAGATTAATGGATGAGAGTAGGTAACTCACTGAAGAAAAATTCAAACCAAATGGTTACGAATAGTCGAAATTACAGATTACTTTTTGACAAACCTATTTATTTTCATGTACAAAGTATCCAAAGGTAATTTTATAAGTCAAATAAAGCGTAATTGTTTGACATGTAATGTTTATCGGACGATGATGGCAGTGCTGAGCTCTCGAATCAGTAGTCAAACGCTCTTAGATGTTTTTGCTACTATAGAAATATTCTCTACTAAATAAAAAATCTCTGTTGACATTCTAAGTCTTTCATATGAAAATCGATCTAGTTCTCATAGCTATTTGCAATCAAGCTTCATCGAACTCTATATTTGTCGTCAACATATGAAAATAAAAGATTCGTGTTTAGATACTTTTTACTTGGCAGTAGGACTTTTGATAACTACTGTAATTAGTCAATTGTTTAAAATCAGAATGAACTTTAAGAACTTCTCAAGATTTTTATAACTAAAGAAAAACTTTCATTGATTTTCATTTGTTGTCGTTTGATATCAACTTATACATTTCAAGAAAGTAATGCTCAATTTTTTCAAGTAACAGCTTTTTATCCTAACTAAATTCACACGTTGAAACTTTTCAAAAGTACTATTTACTATCAATTCAAAACCTATACACTCAAATTTCACATTTTATTTTTTTTTGTTTCAAAAATTCTTTCTCTATATAATCAAATTCAAACTAACTTATATACGAAATAACAACGAATGGTGGTGGTAATCGAGGTCGTTTATCATATTCCATAACAATTTCATATCGATTATACATCCAAATTTGTTCCGATTGACTTTGCACTCTTGCTCCAGTTAAACTAAATAAAAAATAATACAAAAAAAAACATGATTTTCCTTGTTATTATTGATTTCAATCAAACTAACCCAAACATAGCTGTTAAAAGTGATGTAAGAAAACGTTTAGCCAAAAAGAAATATTGTATAAGTAAAAACCATGCTATCCATGATGTTTGATTACATTTTGGTGATGATATTCCATATCGATTATATGCATAAAGATTATCATCTTCAAACAAACAAACAAAAAAAAAAACTCAAAGAATTTTCAAATAAATCATATTTCTTACATTTAAATGATAATCCATGTGATAATCTTAGACAAGCATATTCACTTTCTGTTTCACCTGTTGCATTTATTGAACATGCTTGAGTACTACTTTTTAAATCCGACATTTCATTACTAAATAATGCCATTAAACCACGAAATACAAAAGCTTTTGTAAATAAATCTAAACCAAGTGGATAATGTGGATAAACTACAGCTGTTATTGCAACACCAGATGATATCATAAATATTACAAATAATTGTAAAAATGTCAAAAAATCATCCATTATCTATAATTATTATAGTAGAAAAAAAAACATAAGATAATTTACAAAAACTAAAAAAAAATTCAATTACCATACAACGAAGTCGAATCATCATTGGACCAAGTTTAGGACTAATTGGTAGATAAATAAATAATATTCGATAATAATAATAAATTAAACCAACACCTAATATTGCTTTTGCTGTTAAAACTTGACAAGCTAAAATAAAATTAAAAAAAAACTTTGTCAAAATCATAGAAGAATCTTTTTCCTGAACTCTTACTTCCAAAATTCCATAAACCAATAATTCTAAAAGTAAGATAAAGTGCCAGAAATATCGTTTGTACAATAACTTCTAATACAGCTCGTTGTAAAGGTAAACTACTTTGAGACTAAATAAATACAAAGTGTAATTTATAAATTACAAAAAAAAAAAAAAAAAAAAATTTCAAAATCTTACACAATATTTTTCATAAGCAACACGTGTATTTTCAAATGCAATTGATGCTGTCCAAAACCAGACAAAACAATCAAGTAATAAATTTCCACATGATGGCCACATAACAGCTAATGTAAAAAATGATAAAAAAGCTATGTAAGCAACGAAATTTGTATAAAATTTTGTTATTGGTGCTGTCCATAAGACTTTGATTTCTTCCCAATGGCTCATTGATTTGTCATCAGACTTTGTTGTACTAGTAACACTTCTTTGTTTTTGAAAGGTATTACGACGACAACAACGACTTATTCGTTGAAATATACTATTCTATATAAAATGTATACAAGTAATAAAAAAAAAAGGAACTTTTGTTTTAAATTAACATACTCCTTCACGAATGTTTACTGCACCAATAAATTCACCTAATTGTTTTCCTTCTAAAATTAAAAATAATTATATACATATCTATATTTTATGATAAACTAATAGAGAAAACTAACGATCAACTTTTTTTTCTGGTTTCATTTCGAAATTTTTATCATCTTGTAAATCACTTGATTTTTTTGGTGTTGGTGGTGCTTGACCGATTGGAGAAAAATTTATCCAGAACCACATTGGAAATATTAAAATAGCACTAAAAATAATCTTTAAAAATAAAAATAAATATTATCATTGTTATTATTGAATAAATATCTATTTATTCTAACTTTAAGATAATCTGGACATTTGAATAATCCCCATGAAAGTTCTCGTGGAGTAATTTCTCCATAGAATTGTCTAGTAACCCATTTTTGACAAGCAGCATGTGCCATAAATTCTTTATTTTCAGCATTATAAGCTAATTCAACGGTTGCCATATGATTCCAATCCTAAACAAATAATTGTTATTTAAACATAGATCATTGAAAAGAAAACAATTTCTTACCGGATGTTTTTCATCAAGCATTTCAAATGTTCTCATATTGTCTTCATTAAATGCTTTATCAAGTACACCAACAGCACAATCAGAAAATTCTCTATAAAGAAAAAAAAAAAAAACTTCGAAAAACTTTTTTTTTGACACAAAAATATTTGTAATAACTTGGCTTGTTTTTCAATTAATAATCGTTGATAAGATTCATGACAATAAGGTGCTAATTTTTTAAACATCATACAACAAATTAATGCTAATGGAATAGGTTCTGATGAACGTTTCCAAAGAATTTTTGCTAATAGATGTCGATTCATTAATACAGCATAAATAATCAAATGTCTAAGTGCCTATTTTTTTGTTAAAACAAAATAAAGTTTTGTAAAATATAAAAGAAAAACAAGATTTTACTTTCTTTTCTGCTCTTATTCTTTGTCGTTGAACACCTTTATCTGTTTTATCACCAAAATAAATTCCCATAGCATTACAATCCATTTCATGTTTACTAAAAAAATGACTAATTCCTGTTAAACGTTTAACAATAACATTAAGACCATGTTCAACAAAATCTTTTGGCATTTCTTCTTCATCCTATTCAATGAAACAAAAACAATAACAAATTGTTTTTGTTTTTTTTAAACTTCAAATCAATTTTTTCTTCTTACTCCAGTTAAACCAAGAATTCCTTCTAGTGATGTTGTTGTTAAAAATTCTCGATCTTTTGCCTCATTAAATAAACTAATTAATTTATCTGATTTTAAATATCGATGTAAAGCAAATTCTCGATCAAGAAATAAATCTACAAATGGTTCAAGTTTTTTTCCAAGCAAAGCTTTATCAAATAAATCTGCTTGAATAGAATATTTCATATCATCATCACGTTGAAAGATTTCTGATAAAGCTAAATCTGGTAAATTCCAATCAAGTGTTAATAGAAGATTTCGTTTTAATTGTACATTAACTTTATTGCCAGTTGCAGTTTTTTGTGCTAAAATTAAATGAAAATAAATAATAAAAATGAAATAAACATATGTTTATACATTGTAATAAAGCTGAAAGAATAAATTTATGAAAATCATTTAATGATGCTGTTGTACTATTAACATCGACAAATGTTAAAAATTTTCTTTTTCCTTGATCTGCTTTTTTTACAATTGAAATAATATGATCACGAATTTCATTTCGTTTAACATTATTATCTTTCAATGTTGGATATTCATCAAGTAAACGTCGAGTTAATTCAACTTTTAAAAAGCTATCTTCATACTCTTTATCATTTCTAAAGAAAATTTAATAAGTGTATTTATTTTTTTTAATAAATATAATTTTCATTTGCTTACTTAGCATTTATTTCTTCATAAGCAAATGCAATAATATCAGCAGCAGATCCAGTTCCTTTAAGAATAACAGCAGGAACTTCTTGTTGAAGTTTTCGATATAAAAGTTCAATTGTTCCTGGTGTACCACGAAGTAATGTACATACCATTGGAAAACCATCGTCACTCCATGGTGTACTCTTTCGAGATATTAATGGAGTAGTTGATAGAACGTCTAATAATAGAAAACATATACTTTTGTTAATCATCTATTCATACATGTACATAAGATGTCTTTGAACTATATTGATTGTTCCAAAAGTCTGTCAAAGTACTTAATGTAAGTATCTCCTTTACAATTCAAGGGATTTTATTGATTCTTTTTTGATAATATATAAGTATGCTCTTTAAAATTTTGTTTTGTATATTTTTGTTTATGCTTACAAATATTAGGATAAAAATAGTTTTACAAATAGCCAATTTTGAATTATCTATGGCTGTATAACGAAAAGTGCAAGTTGAGTTCGATAAAAACCTACACCAAATGAAAATTACATTAGAGTTAGATTTTAATGCATGTGTGAAGCAGGAAAAGTGACTGATTAAGAACTTTCTGGAAAACTATCAAAAACTACAACATATAATTCGACGATATTTATGAAAAATGAAACACAATCAAATACTCGAGCTGTCATAAAGACCTGCTTCATTCGACAAATAAATTACACCTTGTATGGTTTCAACCAAATTTATTGAGTTATTATTTAGTAGACTGTTATTCATAGAATGAAGTAGGGCTTCACAAACAGTTCAAGTACTAGATTATGATTTATTTTTCATAAATATAATAAACATTGTCGAATTTTGTGTTGTAGTATTTGACAGTCTTCCATAATGTTCATGATCTTTCACTTTATTGATTTCATACGTGCATTGAATCGTTACTTTAATGTAAACTTCATTTAATTTAGATATTTGTATTAATTTTTCTGATGGCCATTTGAAGTTTTTCAAGGATAAAATATGATTGTATTCAATTATATGAGTATAATATCAATCCAAGACAGAAAATTCAAAAAATTCATACTTCACGGTATTTTCAAAATATATCAAAATGATTTTCGGAAACTTTTTTTTAGATATTTCAAGTCTACTATTGATCTTTGTCACGAGTATATTAATTCAAGTTTATTTTATAGCGATCAACTCAGCAAAAAAGTCTGAACACTTGATTGTACTTTATGATTTAAGTGTCAATATAGTGCAACAAAGTACTTGAGATTTATAATCAGAAAAAGTTATATAAAATGAATTTCAACTGATTTGCTTGTAATATATATTGACAGTAGACTCCATATAGCTTTAAAAGTTCTCAATAATAGTTTCGACGTATCTTTAAAGTACAATGAAATACAAGGTTTTCATTTGTTCTCTTTTGTGTCAATCAAATGTCAGTAGACTAAGATCATGAACCTACGCTTGGTTGTAGTGTCATAAAATAAGGAATCAAGCGGTGTTCGGTAATTGAAAATATTCCCTGGTGAGTTTTCAGAGGTATAAGCATAAGAAAAAAAAAATTCTATGAGTTCTTATCTTAATCAAATAACTTCAATCCAATAGATCTTCTTCGAAAAAGCAAATTTCACCCATTGGATTATACATTTCGTTTTCTTATTGATGTTCTTACTTGAATTCTATGCAAAATAAAAAAAAAGTGGCAACTAGATATCATCATGTTCGCATCTTAAAATTATTCATTCATCTACTTATTTTATGTTTCATCCATCCATATATCATCATAATATGTTATTGACCTCAACTGATAATTTAATCATGTGAATTCTAGTCAAAAAAAAAAATAATGAAACATTCATAATATGATCTTAATGATGGTTCTATCTGAATCATTGAGGAGAAAATCGCCTTTATTACACATTCTTTTAGTGTTTTTTTTTTTTAATAAACTCTTCAAGTGAAAGCATCATTTCAAGAGCATGAAATGTCGTCTTAGACAAGCAGTACTTCTCATTTCAAAAAGCATAAATAATAAATTTTATAACAAGTTTACTTTCATTGAAAATGAAATTTACGAATCAAATTGATCATTCATAGGATAATTATGGCGTCTGAAAAAATTTAAACTCTAACTCATAATTATTCTAGGGATGAAGAATTAAATTATTCCATTTGCAAAGAAATTTCATTCGTTATAAAATCTGTACTGTTTGAAATGGTAATCATAGTCTGCTGGAAAAAAAAAGACATTTTTTAAGTACTCCATACATTGTAATGTTTTTAGTCTCATCATGGTACCAATCAGAACTAATGCAAAAGAAACAGCTTCGTAAGGATGTCAAAGCTTTTATTTCGCACGGCAAATTTCTTTATGATTAGAAAATCGTAAATGAGTATCAAGCCTCTTATACTTCGTGTCGTACGAGTTCTGATACTAAGAGAACATTAAAATTTTATTTATTTATTATTACCTATTGATGGTTGTTCATTGGTAGGTGGTTGTAATGCTTCTTGATGTAAAAAATCTTCAAATCTATCACGAAATCTATTGGTTGCGCTTTCAGCTGAATCAATTAATTTTTCTAATTGTTTTTCTCCACTATCAATTGTTATTGATTTTGTTCCTGCATTAATAGTTGAACTTGTACCTATGGATTGTTCGCGAATAATAATAAAATGTGAATGACCACTATTTAATGAAAGTTGATCACGTTTACGAGTTGGAACTTTAACTTCCTATGAAATAAAAATATAAACAAAAAAAAAAAAAAATAGTTTGAATTTCATTTTCATTGGTTTTTCTACCATTTTGCTTTTATCTTTTGATGCTTTAAGATCAATAAAATCTTTTATTTCATCATCACAAACAATTCCAAGTAAAACAAGTGCTTTACGTTTTTTTGGTGCACGACCCATTTGTATAGCCCATGCATCGTCAGCTCGTCTCAATGCCTGATTTTGAAAAAAAAAAAAAACAAACAAAGAAAATATTCAAATGATTTGATTTTTATTTTCTATACAGTTTCTTCTCGAAAAGCTGATCCAATTAATTGTGGAATACCAGCATCAATACCATTCGTTATAAACCATACTTCTGATGCATTGGCTGCCTAAAATAAAATTTCATATTTGAAAGAAATTTTTTTTTTTTTTTTAATATTTCAAAAAATTACATTTTGAATTCCACTTCTCAATGTTTCAATCATTTTTTGATTTTTAAATGGTTTATGATTAGTCACACCACTTAAAACAGGTATGACAATATTTGCTGTTTGTAATTTCCATTCACTTATCATAAATTGTCGTAAAACGTGTAAATCGATATTATCATCAACATAAAGAAATGGTCGAGCCTAAAATAAAAATTAATTGAGTAATAATGGTGTCCAATTACTCTTGTTCTTATTTATCATAAACAGCGAACGATTAATTTTGGTTTACATCATTAAAATGATTAGTGATTGTATCTCTGTATATTTGATAACTGATTTTTTATATAGATAAAATAAATACGTACATCATTTGAATAGTCACTTAATGAATCTTCAAATTTGAGTGTACCCCAGCATGCTCCATAACGCTCTTGAATAAAATTATTAAAATCATTTGAATCTAATACCGATATCGAACGCAAAAATGTACTATGTCGTTGTGGACTATCATCATTAAGTAAAGTTTCTTGGGTTGATGACGGTAACATCTGAAAAATGAAACATCTTGAATTAATTATTTCGTTTAGTTTACAATTAAAAACATTAATTTATATATAAAATTTATAAAAAGCTGTACCTGACTTCGTCTCTTTGGTTTCTCTCTCAGTTATTTTTTTTCCTTTAACTATTACTGAATACATCTATTTCTGTCTATCTGTACCGCCTCTCAGAGAAAAAAAGAGTCATACACAGTAGAAACGAGAAATGTGACACATAATACAAGTTAACACGCAATCGTTTTCAAAAACTGACGTAAATATTCAATGAAGCAAGTCTTTCTTTCTCGTTCTTCTCTTCTGTTGCCACTTACAATTTTTATTCTATTCTTTTTCTTTTATTTGTCTACCGATGTCTTTTTTTCTCATGTTCTTACCGGTGAAAGAAAAGAAAAAAAAAAAAAAAAAACAACAGAAGAACAGTTTTATTTTCTCATCATCATTAATACATTCATTATATGATATTAAAAAAAATAAACTTTACATTTGTTTTACTTTTGGTTGTAAATAATTATCATGATATAAAAAACAACAAAAATATTGGTATATCACATCGAATGACATTATAATGCATCACGTTCCATCAACTTCATGGTCAACGATCAAAATGCCATATAATAATGTCGATAAAAAAAAAAATCCCCAAAAAACAAAAAGGCCAAAGCAAGAAAGTAAAAAGGAAAAAAATGTTTATATGAGTACAAGAATAGAACAGATAAAAATTTGTCTGCTTCCAATAACATATGCTATGTGGGTGTCTAGATAGTACAATGCAAATAACTAACCTATCCATATAATATAATCAGATAATCCGTATACCAACTTGATTTGCGACTTACACATGCTCTTATCAATAGAAATAAGATGAAGAAGAAAAAGAAAAAAGAAAATTCAATATTTTATTGACGTAAACTTATCGTCAAATATTTTTCTAATAGTAATATCTATGTATAAATATATATATATAGAAACAAATATACATGATGGATAGGTAGAAAAAGAAAAGAAAAAGCAAAAAAAATTTATCAATAAAAAAAAAATACTTATATGAGAATTAAAGTGTTGTACTTGACTGAGATGATTAAGTGCAACGTAGTCTCAGATTGTTAGGATAAAAAAACATAATTTTGAACACTTAGGAAACGCAAGAGAAGCAGTATTTTTTAAAAAAAAAGCCGCAAACATTAGTAAATATAAATAGCGATTGAGGACTTGACAGTGATCAACTGCTTGTTTTTTGCGTACATCAGAATGGTAGAAAAGAAAATCTATGAATAAGTATACTTAATAGTCACAGAATTACCCATGCAAGAGAAGAAAAAAAATGTCCACATTAACAACGTCAGTAATGCTTCTTCATAACAGAATAATCTCTACTGAATAACATGTGTCGTTTTAATCAAGCATGGAATGAGTTTTTACATGCATCTTAAAGAAATTTTTCGATAGTATTGTTTGCATCTATGAAATCGATAAAATATTGATATAGACATAAATATATATCAATGTCAAATTCTACTTTTTTTTTTCGATTTTGAGAATTTTACTGATTAGAAATAAAAAGAAAGAATACTTTACTACACTTTTCAACCAATCACATAAAAAGCAGATAAAAACTGCTATCGCTTGATTGGCATGAAAAAAAAAATCTTGTAAACTGAAAACAAATATTATTAATGCCTTCTTGACTCTCTAGTATTTAACAAATCATTAATATGTTCATTTTATTGATTTTTCTTTCAATGATTTTAATAAAAATTTCTCATTAACATATTTTCTTTTCTTTCCTCACCGATTTGCTAAATATTTCGATTTGTAGTTCATAATATTTAAAAAAAAATCTGTTTTACCTTCTAATTATTATCGATTGAGTTATGAAATTTAGATTTCATTTTTTTTCACTTTGTATGATTATTTAATGGTTTATAATTATTTTATATGAAATAGACAACAGAAATCACTTACTTTATCTTAGATCTATAACGATCTCTCATAGAATCCGAAGAATTAATCACTTGTTAAAGCCATTTCAGGAATGTCCAATTAAAAAAAAAAAAGAAGAATAAAATATTTCTTGTACAGGATTTGTTTTGTTCGATTCTATCTATCGGAAACATGTATTTATGATTTGAAAGATGAATTAATCTATGGAACGTTTGTCAGAGGCGAAATTGGAGACGATAATCGAAAGCATCTAAGTATATATTATTAGTTCATTACAATAGTATATATATAGTAGTCGTCAAAAATTCTGCTACTAGGTTAAAAGTGTTTAAGCACATGTTGTTTAGTTTCATATTTTAGTAACAAACACGAAGTTCAATGAACCCTAATTGTAAACAGCTGTCCGATATAAATCGACTTTTATATAAAGGACCTAGAATACCAATAGAGATTTTTTAGTCAGATAAGAATATTTCCATGTTAGAACAAAACCTTAGAGCGTTTGTTCACTCATTCGAAAGCTTAGTGCTATTTCTGTCACTGATAAAAATTACATGCCAAATGATTAAAATTTGCTTACTTCATGAGATTATCTTTGAATATTCTTAACATGAAAGTTGATGGAACTCGTCAAAAAAGTAATTTGTAACTTTAACTATTTCGAACTGTTTAAATCGAAATTTTCTGCAGTCAACTATCTGTTCTAATCACGTATTTCCTGAAAATCTCATGATTATAGTAATTGATAGAATGGGAGTCTATGTGAAACCTGTTCATGATAATAGAAACATCACTGTCCCTTAAAATCACAGTAGATTGAATTCTCTTTTCTGTGACATAATATAGACATGTGATGCTTTGTTAGTCAATAAAAGGATTGATATTAACGATTCAAAATAAAGATAAATCAAAGAAATACGATAAAAAAATGTTTGCTTAGGCCAACGACAAAAAAAGAATTTTTTTTTATTTTACAAAAGCCGATGCACTCAAATCAACTGACGTTTAGATTGATGCGTGCAGGCAGAGTTTATCGAGTTTAGTTTGTCGCAAAAACATCAGGCAAAAAGATTCAAGTTTAGGTACTTTTTACCAAATAATGAGACTTTTAGCGACTAGTGCGATTATCGCAAAAAATTCTGAATTTTTTTTGAAGATTACAAAGTTATCGACAGCATGAAAAAAAATACAGTCTTTTGAAAGTTATATAGTAATATCGTTCATGTCATTTACACTAATAATGAAAATTTAATATCTATGTTGTTTCTTAAAACTTGTTCAAATAGTTTTAAATAGTTCGAACATCTTATATCTCTACTTTCACTCAAACACAAACAAAATCATCAAACTCAGATTATATTTATCATTCGATTAACTATATAAGGTTTTTCATCAGAGATTCCCATTCTAGTCAACAATTCATCTAGATAATGACGATAGAAAAGAATCAAGTAATGAATATTGTTGAATATCGTTATATATATATATTAATTTCACTATATTAAAATAAATCATCTTGTGTTTTTGTTTGATTGAAAATAGACAACCTGGTATCATGTTAAATAAATATGTGTGAAAATTATTAATATGTAGTAATGACATATTCATTGATAATTGCAAATTTCATCAAATCATCATTAATTATCATTAAGATTGATATAAATATTGATGTCATTTTCATAAGATAGTAAATCGAATGAAACTAGTAATATTTAAAAGTTCAATGAATTTGAAAACCTATATCAAGATAAAAGAAAAAAAAACAAATATGAGATATATCTAAAATATTTATTAATTTGCTAAGAATACACTCCACATATTTCTTTTATTTTTTTTGTTTTGTTTTAAAATTATATAATTTTAAATTGTTTCTCCTAAAAATAACTATTATAGAAAGAGAAAACGATTTAGACTTAATGAATTGAAAAAAGTCATCGTTGTACTTCGAATAGGATTAGGTTAAAACATTGATCCATGCAAATATAATGTCATTGACCTAAGAGAAAGACATTTAAACTTCTATTTAATGACCATGCTATTTTTTTTTTTGATTCGTAATAACTAATCTGTGCTTTAGTAACAATAGTCACGACTTAGTTCTTCAAAATATATCTTATCGGTAAAATCGATGAGTATTCTTAACAAAATCGTTGTCTAACACCTATGTTTCTTGTTTATCTTTTCATAATCAATAACCATCTTGTTTTTGATAAGTTAGAGACTGATGTACAATGTTATTTTAACAATGACAGATGACAGATTAATCTCCAGGAACTGTTAAAAACCTATATAGATGAGTACCCCATATCGCATATATCTTTGCACTACCACTAGTTGATTGTTAACGGGTATCCTAGGGCAAAGTGCACTATCGTTGCATTTTTTTTTCTTGTTTCGAATTAAAATCTACATCCAATGTTATAATCATAAATCTTGTTTAGAATAAGTTTAACTTTTGAAAGCATGATTTTCGGCAATGTACTCAAAAGTATTCACGGGTGTCACCTTCAAGTCTTTCTTCTTTGAGCAATAACACTAATGACCTTGAAAAGATCGTAGAAATATATAGTACAAAATTATCTATCTATTCGACTTTAATGAATAAAAGCGTAGATAAATCAATAAATGTCGTAAGAAAATAGAAAATCGTAGTTGAATGATTGAGTAAATGTTCATCTCTTGAATTTTGAAATGGCAAAGAAAACTTGTTTGAAAAACAAATTAACAATTTTGTCGAGTACGAAATTCTCTATCGTTCGACGTAACTGAGAATCTTATTGATAACTAAAAAAACAAGAGAAAAATGCACCGAGATTCAGTGCAATTTACCCGAGGATATCAAGTTGTCAGTTTTTTTTTGACCTTTAAGCACATGTGATGATTTTCGCAACTATCTATAACGTATAAGTTTGTTCAACATATTTAAGGTTGTATTTAAACTGCTTAGCAGAATCATCATTCTATTCTCGATTGAAAGCCAAGGATGAAATCGTCTAATTTTAAAACATTGAATGAGAATGAAGGTGAAAAACATTTCGAAACATCACGTTGTAACCTATAAAATGCATTATAGACAAAAAAAGATTATTTTGAATCACCTGAATATTGATGCGATATTCGTTTTATTGGAGATTATTGTTGATTTCAATTTCAGTATTCCTGAATATCTAAATAATTATTTCTACTCTCATAGTGTAGAAAAGAATAATCCAAATCTGAATATACATTCTGTACTATATTTTACATTGAGGAGTAACTGTATAATCTCTCTTGACATAAGCATACCCATTGTGGGGTAAGATAACATATGTTAATCTGATCGAATCTGTTATAATAATAATCAACATGATGAGTACGATCGAGTTTTTTTTTTTTTCTTAGAAACTTAATGTAGCAAGAGCTAAAACACAAATATAATTTTGTTATTAATATTGACAGTATGCAGAATCAATTTAACATATGAATGTTAAAATCAGCACAACAACAATCGAAACATCTATAACTTTACCAGGATTAATACCATTATGACGGTTTATTTTTTCTATGACGCTGTTGATTATTTTCAATAGAATAAAATGAAATAGCTAGTAAAATAATACACAAATAAACATACAAATTATTGGCTCTTCTTAGCATAGAGATGTCTGAACAATTTACAAAATTGATTATCACTGCAGTTTTGTTAGTATGTTAATTATGAATAAAAAATATTTTTTTAACCACCAGAAGAAATAAACCAAAAAAGAATAAGTATATTTGCGAAAATGAAAGTATATTGATTGAAGTACAAAACAAATATTTGTCTCGATTTCATATATAAATGTCATATTATGATTAATTAACAGAACTATAAGCAACATTGATGGATTATTGCATTTATAAGTTTTTGTGATTTATTTATCTAAGCCAAACAAAATAGATAATAATAGAGAAGATTTTGTTTTTTTGATGATTGCCTATATTTCTAACCAATGAATAAAACTTTATTGAAATGCATAAATGAGTAAAGAGTAAAATAAAATAAAAATTGAAATACAATATAAAGGTGTGACATTGACAATCTAATGGATAATGAAAGAAAGAATATGCGTAGATATATTTCTTTTTTAATGTTTGAAATAATAAACACTCGTTCTTTTTTTATTTTTTTGCTTACAGAGAGTGTCGATTCATTTTTAATGAATCCTATCAAATGTTTTACTTCTTCTTCTTTTTTCTTTTCTTACTTTTGTTTCATTTGAAAATCTAGATTTGAATAAATAAGTTCTTGTCTATGGATAAGTATGAAAAAATTAAAAAAATTGGTGAAGGTTCTTATGGTAAGAAAACTTTTTTTTAGGGTAAAAAACTTTGAAATATGATATATATGTTTAGGACAAGTTTTTAAATGTCGAAATAAAGATACAGGTGAAACAGTAGCTATTAAAAAATTTATTGAATCTGATGATGATCCAGCAATAAAACGTATTGCTATGCGAGAAATTCGAATGTTAAAAGTAAATGAATTTATTGCAAAAAACCAAAAAAAGAATTTTATGTTTTATTTTATTTAGCATTTGAAACATGAAAACCTGGTGAATCTCATTGAAGTATTTAAAACAAAACGAAAACATAAACTTCATTTGGTATTTGAATATTGCGATAGAACTGTTCTTGATGAACTTGAATCACATCGAAATGGGTAGAATTTTAATTTCTATGATTTTTCTTTTTAAATCTTTACTCTTTTTTTTTTTAGCGTACCGGAAGCGATGATTAAAAAAATTACATATCAAGTATTGAATGCCGTAGAGTTTTGTCATCGACATAATGTAAGAAAAAAAAAAAACAAAACTAGAAAAATTTTAGAAAGAAATTTTAATAGATAAATATTTATTTTCTAGTGTATTCATCGTGGTAAGTTGAATTTCAAAATGTTGAATTTTATATATATGTATTTTGTTTTTTTTTCTTGATGTGAAACCGGAAAATATTCTTATAACAAAACAGAATATTGTTAAATTATGTGATTTTGGATTTGCTCGATTAATGAGTGCGTATTTTAGAATGGATTAAGAGAGCGAGAGAAGTATTATTGTATTCTTCTTTTTTTTTTGAAATAGCTCAACAACTTGAGATGACTGATTATGTGGGTAAGTAGTTAGATTTTCATATAAAGGGATGAAAAAAAAAAGTATTCTATGAAATATTTTAATGAAACAGCTACAAGATGGTATCGTGCACCAGAATTACTAGTCGGAGATCGACAATATGGTACAGCTGTTGATGTTTGGGCTATTGGATGTGTCTTTTGTGAACTATATTCGGGAGTGCCGTAAGTTCTAATACATTTCTAGTTTCTCTTTATTGTTATACTTCATTTCTATTTAGATTATGGCCAGGTAAATCGGATGTAGATCAACTTTATTTAATTCGTAAAACTCTTGGTAAAAATTAAATAAAATTTTTTTAATAAATCTAATCTATTATACTATTTGTTTTTTTTTTGTTCAGGTAATCTCATTGATAAGCATGTAGCCATTTTAAAAAGTAATCCTCATTATAAAAATGTACACATTCCTGAACCTGATACAATCGAACCATTAGAACAAAAATTTCCATATGTATCTGAACGAAGTCTTGATTTTATGAAAGTAAAATAATAATAATAATAATTATTATTATTTTCTTTACTATTTAATTATTAATATTTTTTTGTTTTGTTTTGTAAAGAGTTGTTTGGTAATGGATCCTGAAAAACGTTTAACATGTGGTCAACTTTCACAACATCCATATTTTGATGGTTTTACTAATGAATTTGAACGTGAAAGAAAAGAACAACAAAAACATTTACATCGTGAACAACAAAAAATATTACAACAACAAGCAAAAATTCAAAATAATGTTTATGGTGCTGGTACAAAACAACAAAATCAAGGAGTAAGTTTATTTAATACAATAAAAAAAAAACAAAGAAAACAAAAATTTATTCCAGCATTTTCCATCCCTTTCTCGCAATCAAGATCACGATGGAAATAATACACCGGCGTCCGATGATCGTGGTGGACGCAATTTTCATTTACCCAATATTTGTATGAGGAAATTTTCCCGTTTGCAATTGCTTTGTTTTTTTTTTCCTCACGATATTTTTTTTTTTCTCATACACCCGTTGTTTTGCACTATTTCATTATTAGAAAACCTTCATTACAAAAAAAAATCAAAAACAACTAGAGAAAATAATAAATGTATTATTTGATTTTTTTTTCTTTAGAAAACTCTACCAAGTTTGACGGGCATAACAGGAGCACAATATTCTAATGTTCATTCAACATCAAATAATCCCGGAGACTATTTAAGACCAAGTCGACTTGAAATTTATCTTGATCCTGATCAACGTATAAATGTCAATAAAACACGATTTGGCAATGCTCAACATCCAAGTGTACCAACAACAAGTGTTATTAATGATCCAGATTTATCAATAAAACCATCACCACAAACAAAACGTTTAGCATATGGAGAAAATTATACACATTTACCAAATATATAATTTATTTCAAGATCTCTATTTAATATTGTTCTTATGTCCGTCAAAATTTTCTTTTTTCTGTCTCATGTATAGTCTCTGTTCTCGTCTTTTTTTCTTTTTTCTTCTTTGTCGCTATTGATGAATACCAAATGAATTCCATATGTAAGCCGTCTATAAATATATTTTTTAATGCAAACAACAAAACCAAAGAAATGTTATAATTAGAAAAGAAGTGTTTGAAGTTAGTCAGGGTAATGCATTTATTATATACTAAATTAAATTTCTTTTCCGATCAATAGATTCATCTAAATACAATGAAATGCTTATCAAAGCAATAAAGTTAAAACGTATGTTCATGGAAAAAAAGATAAAAATAAACACCTATGAGCAACTATAGAATACTTAATGAATTTTAAGTTGTTCTGTATATTTTTGTTTTTTCTAGAAGTTGAAGAGAAATAATAATTGAAATGACGGAAGAGAAAAATGTTGTCTTACAAACGGGAACAACCCTTTGAAAAATAAAATGCTTCGTTCTATCGTATATTTATGTTTTTGTATTTATGCTTTAAAATGATATTACTTGTCATTTGAAAAATAAATATTCAGTTTAGGATTAAATACAATCAAATCATCAAGTTTTTATCTATTGATCTTTTATTTTCAAAATAAATACGTTCACTATTTTCTATATAAACTAATCATTTATTCTTCCATTAACAATAAAAAATTATCTATAGCCAACGATTAAATATATATATATCATTAAAATCTAAAGTTTTATATTCAAGATGAATTCATTCTAAAATACTAGTCTTAAAAGCAATTGTCTCATGTCATAGATTATATTTTTACATAATTCAAAACAATGTCAATATAACATAAAATGAATAAGTAATGAAATGTGTTGAATTTTTGTTTGTTTTAGAAACAATGATAATAAAAAAAAAAAGAAAACATGACATAAATACTAAACTAAACTTTTTTCCATCGTTTAATATTACACCTAGATATAGGATATTCAAAAAAAAATATATTAATCTCATTCCAGTACTCTGACTGGATTCGGATGGGACAAGAAAGCCGTGCCATAGATAATTTAGGGTCAGTATAAAGATTTTTTCAAGGCTTGAGTTGACGTTCTTATTGTAACATCTCAGTTTTGTTCTATCATCTATAACGGTTTGAATTCGTTAATTTCATATTTCTATTTTGATACTATTCACATAAATTCTAGTTGTTTCTCCAAAACAACATTGTTCATCTCAACTATTGAATTCTTTGCTGAAATCCAACGAATACATTAGGCAGTTTATTGAAATCTGTTTGAATTTATTTGATTCTTTCGAAATTCACGACCTGCTGTTTTTTTTTTCGAAGAAGTAATTATTCTAAACATTACTAATGAAGATGACATTTCAGCGAAACAATCAACAATTACAGTGAAAAAGCATTAAAAATTTACATAAACTTGAAGGACATTGCACTTTTTCTAATCAGAATTAGTTATAAATTTTCAAAGCTCTAAAAAAATATAAAAAGTTTTTCAATGGAAAAAAAAAGAAGTACAACAAGATAGTGAGAAAACAAATTATTTCTATTGATGAAAGAAGGCAGTATTGAGAATATCATAAGTCTATTACTCATCGGATTTTAAAAGCATTTTAATTACATATTTCAAGATATAAAACCTGAATTTTTTCACGAGGAATAAAAAAACTGCTAGGGATGAGAACATTGTCCTATCTCACCCTTTGGGATATTTCAAAAGAAATTCTTAGCAACTTTATTGTCATAAAATATAAAATGTTGAAAGTGATGATCGATCTTATTTTGTACACTAAAAATCTAGTTGAATGACACACCTAACGTTACTATTAATCAATCATGATTTCATTTTTTTAGTCATCTTTATTTTTTTTTTTCTATCATTCATTTAAAAATCACATTATGCATAGTATATTTTCCCTCTGATATCCTTTCTTATTCACTTAACTAACATTTTTTTTCATTCTTCAAGCATAATATAAAATAGGAAATCTATTTAAATAATTTTGTGTGTTGGCTAAATAATTTGATTGATGATTAGAATTTTTATTACGAATTATAGAGCAGAAATTCTTAATTTAAATGAAGTTTCTTGCTTAATATGATTATTTTTATCGAATGATTGATAACATCCAAGAGTTTATTCAATGTGATCATGAAACCGAATGAGATACAATAGATAAACAAAAATAGATGAATACATGCTCAAGAAATATTGACTGAAGTTGATCATGGAGAATATAAAATATAAAAGTTATTGTTTAGTAATGATTTTGATGAAATAAACGTAACAAAAACAGCATAGTTTTACAATTTTAATTTGCCTAGTATTCTATTCGTGCTTGCTAGACATTGTTAGAAAATCATTTGGTTATATTCTACTCTTTTTCATAAGAATTTATTGTCAACAAAATAGGTCCTTCTAGCACCAGGCTTTGGACAGTGTATTTCTAATAAATTTTTATAAACATAATTTTGATAAGAAGGATATACAGACCAATTTGATATCAATGTGCAGGTTACACGATTATATTTGACGAAAATATTTACTATCTTAGACAGAATTCGGTTGATGAATGAGAGTTGAGTCGATGAAGATATTCAAGAAATAGTTCTGATAATTTGAACATTACAAAACTCGACAAGTTAGATGAGCCGTGAAAAAGATGAACTTCTTTAAAAATACTCGGTGTGACAACCGCAACGTCATGAACCTTAGCTCTATTTATTCATGTATCTACCAAAAGAAATTAACTTTTCAAGACTATTAATAGTAAACATCATGAAAAAATTGTCATAAGAACTTGAAACTCTTTTAACTAGAACTACGAACCTTCTAAAAACCGTATTAAAGTTATGAAACTATTTTGTAATAACTAAACTTTTTCTTGATATGATCAATTCCAATTTTAACGTATCGACAATGTTTCTGATTAAAGAACAGAAGTCTTCACTTATCATTTCTCATATCCATGATCGACCGATGTATATCCATCAGTAAAGTAATTTATGATGAATGAAGGGCAAGCTTCATTGTATGTCACTTTTCGATTTTACAAAGCAATTCATGGTTTAATTAGTTTTCATTGATACACATTCAAATATTCTATTTCATATGGAAATCAATTGATACCTATATCATACAGAACGGCTCGTAAGCGGTCGTAAGTAACTCGCAAACAGTGAAAAACAACTGTCGTTATGATCGCCATTCCTTTGCTGTTTCACACGATTTTTCGTTGTATGAACAGCGGTGTCCTCAAGTTATCCTTTGACATTTTCTAATGACCTATAATTGATTAATCACAGCCGATTAAAGAAACTAAAAATTTGTTTTTTTATTCAAATTTTTTTTCATCATTTAGTTCAATAGTAATGATTTTATTAAAGAAATATATTTTTTTATTTTTTTATTTAGATTTCTGTCAATCAAATATTCAAGAGGAAATATTTTATTTAAATAAACAAATTTTACTTCTTGTGTCTGCAGAAAGTGAGAACGAGGGAAAAATAATCGTGTTCCTCTTCACTAAGTACTCGTATGCGAATACGATGACAAAAGACGTCGTATACGGCCGTTAACGACTGTCATCATGCTCGTTCTGATACAACAGATAAATACAGCTGTACACGTTCGACTTGGGCAAGAAACAGCAAATATGAAAAATGTATAATTGTTTCCAAGTATAAAATGGAAACAAGTTAAGATTGATGACAGCTGTCACATGCATCAATAAAAAAAGAAAATAGAAGAATATTCTTTTCGAAATAATTATCAATTACATATGATACCAAGATTCATTTTGAATATGCCACCTCAAATAGATAATACATTACCACTAGATGGAGATGAGAAAATCGACCAACCATTATCTGATAATGATCAGAATATAATTCGCATTAAGAAATATCTTCTTATGCTTCTTTTCATACAATGGGTAAGATCAACTGAATGTTCTATAAGAAAATTTTCGTAAAAATCAATATTTTTATAGATTGTATGTGTTGTTACTTTTGGTGTTGGGTTATTTTCAGCATTAGCTGAGAATTCAGCAAATATTTCAAATACAATTCAATTATTGATACTAGGGATTGTTATATCTATCTATTATCTATTTGGTCTTGTAGCTACATATAAACAACATGAAATTGGATTACTTATAGTATGTTATTTTATGTTCTTTATTTGTTTTAATTTTATTTTTAAATATTAGTTTGCATCAATTGGAGTGATTTTCTTTATAGCAATATTCATTTTATTTGGTTATATCATCTTAGTTATTACGGCATTAACTGTTGCTTTTCAAGTTACTAATCAAGCATATGTAATCATCGTAGTTTTTGTGATTTTCATTCTGGTGATGGAGTTTGTTATGGTAAGATTGTTGTTTAACTATATATTTGACTTGTGTGTTACTTTTTTAGATAATGTCTTTGAAATTCTCGTTTAATTTGGCAAAATTGATCAAAACAAATGAGTATTCGACTGTTTAAAACTGTGTAGATCATTTATTGTCTTTTGCAACAAAAACGTTTAAAATATTTGGTATAAATAACGTTTACTTTCTTTGCATCACAATGAATTAATTGAAAGACTAAATTTTTGTATTATCATCTAATATTTATACAGTGAACAATTCGTTATTTCTGAAAAACATAAGTCTTTTTTTTTTAAAATCAATAAAAGTACAAGAAACCTTGTGTTTAAACTGATAGCGAAATATTTTCTCTTCTCTCATAATCGAAAATCTTCCTATATTAGAACACTCGGGGAAGAGGTTACTTTCGAGAGAATGTTATGTTTTCCTCACAATAAGAAGAAATGAAGATCCATTATATTATTTCATTCATCAATAAGAACACCTACAGACAAAGCACTGTATCATATATAGAAGAAAAGGTATAATATGGACTAATGATTATGAGATTAGGCGATACGACCGAAAACACAACGAAAGATTTCAAAAAGTTTGATGACTCATAATAGAAGACTTGGTGTCTTCTTAAATGAAAAGAATGAAAATTTCTTTGACTCGACTATATTATGAGTCTTGTTAAAAATGGTTGCTATTTACTTACTATGAATCCAATCAGATATGTAGTTTTTCTTTTATGTTGTCTTCTTTCGTTCTTTATTCTACATTGTGCGTCATAGACTACATTCACAGTTATACGAATTTGCTTTTTATTTTTTTTTAAAATAATAATGGCAAATATTCTACATCGTTTAAATTCATCAGCAAGTGATGCTAATTTTAAATTATCTTGTGATATTGTACTTTCAAAACTTGTTCCATTAGAAAAATCAATAATTGATTCCATTCTTGCTAATAATAATCCTGAAGAACCAGAAATTATTTTACCTGATGGACGAGTATTTATTTGGTATTTTGCTATTGGTAGTATGATTAATCCAGTATCTCTTTATCTTCGTGATTTAACACCAATCATGTCTTATCCTGCTATATGCAAGGATCATAAAATTGTATTTCGAGGTCCTAGTGGAATGGCTAATTGTGAAGCTTGCCCTGACGCGGAATTTGATGGAGTTGTTCATCTACTTTCAAAGGAACATATGGCACGTTTAGATGATATTGAATTTGGCTATCATCGAAGTAAGATAAAATGTATTGATTATCAAGGTCAATATCATACAGTTTATGTTTATCAAATGAATATTAATAATCAATTACCTGGCATTCCATATGAACGTTATTTGGATATTATAATAAAAGGTTGTGAATATTTTAAAGTTCGATCAGAATACATAAATCGATTGAAAGATGAACAAGCAGTTGTACCTCGAAAACAACCAACGAGTTTTCAATCATTTAAAGATTTTCCATCTGATGCTTATTACTCTATGGACGAATTGAAAAAACATAATGGAGATGATCCTTCGCTTCCATTATGGATTTGTGTAAATGGAAAAATTTTAGAATATGCTGGTTTACCACCAAATGATCATCCTGATTATGAGTTTCAACGAAATTTTTATACATTTTATAAAAACAAACTTACTGGATTTGAAGTCACCAATATAGCGGCTAAAGCATTATATGATCCATTATATAAAATACCTTTAAATGATGTAGATTTATGTGATGAACATCGAGCACAAATTGAAGATTTTTATTACGACATGTTCAGTAGCCCACATAATAAAACTTATTGGAAACCAATTGGACGTCTTCGTCAGCCAAATAATTCATCATAAAGAAGACAGACTTTTTTCAATAAATTTCTCTAAAAAAATATAACTTACACTACACTTTGATTCGATTTATTAAATAGTTTTTTTATTTTAACAAAAAACATTTATGCAATATAATGATTGATATACATACATATTTATATGATTGAATTGCATAGCAATGGTAAGGATTTGTAAAAAAAAGATGATGATAAAACAAGTTTCGAATAAAAAGAATTAGAGTAGTATGTTTGATAGAGATGTATCAATTGTCTATAACCATGCTATTTTTCCTACACTTTACTGTTGGATTAGACTTTGGCGTAACGTTTTTCAAAAACTATTCAGTCCTTAATGATAGCTTTTTAAAAGTGTTCTGATCAACAGGAAAACAGCTTATCGCTTAGAAATTGACTATAGACACTTCAAAATATTTATAATTATAGGCGGATAGCTCAAGTTTCAGAAAATCGTATGATAAATGATGAATTGAAATTTGAAGTTATTTTAATCGAAATATAGATAACAGAATCTCGATGAACATTTTGTACAGAAAAACAAATTGAATACATGTTTCATTTTGATTTCTGATTAAATAAAAAGCTTTAAAAGTTTCATTTTTCTATTTTTGCTAAAATATAGAACTTGTCACGCCATATCTTTCTGTCTGTTTTCAAAAGTTTTAGAAATCGTCATTAGCATATGGGCCAAGTATTAATCTCGGCGGACAGAAATTGTAAATAATATGGTGAAATTAAGGTTTTGGATAGAGTCAGATCCAAATCTTATTTTATTTTAAATTCAAATTACATATTCTGAAAGTTTGATTTGTCAAGCTGTGAAAAACTCAAGTTTACGTCAATGAGAGAAAAAAAAAGATGATTCTTTCGCGCTGTGTAGTCAAAAACCAGCTATTTTTTTGGTCTTGTTTCATATATATATATATTTCAGCATTCATTTGCGATGGAAATTCTTTTTTCATAACTGAATGACAATTTGTAAACCAATTGAATAATAAAAAGAAATTAAAATCTCGTTCAGCAGAATAGCGTTTATGAACCAAACATTCTCCAACCATCAAATGTACACTTATTATGCAATTCACTCATATATATACATATGTGCATCAATTGCATGTGTCATCATTGCTTTACATATCGTAATATTGTTTTGTAATTTTTATGGATGTAACCGTCATTTTTTCTGTCGATTTTTCTCAACAGAGCTGAGTACAAATCAAACGAATACATATTTTTTTAAAATCTCATAACTATTTGCACAGTCTTCGGATTTCTTACATTCGATCCGTCAGTTACACTAACATTAATAATGTCTCTTCGACAACTATAAAACACGGTAGCAAACAGATTGGTTTTTTTCCCATAATTTAACCCGTCGTCAATTCACTCGTTTGAAATTATTTACATAGTTTCACATTCACTCCTCATCGGTTTGAATATTAGAAAGTGTTAATTTTGATCTAAATTTTGTAACAATATTTGATAGCCACTAAAACTAAAACGAATGCGAATTGAACAAAATTGGCGATTTTAATTGACCTATTGCATCAAAAAACAGTTTCTCTCTAAATCTCTTCGAGACAATTTTATTAGACTACATACTATATTTTCGAAACATTTGCAGAAAATTTCATAACAATTCTAATAATTAACAATTGACAATCGATTATTCAATCAGTGAGATTGTGTAATTGGTCGTTTTAGAGGGCAAATTTTGATTTAAAACATTTCCATTACACACGTCAAATACGTATCAATTAATAGTTAGAATATGAGTCCTATTTCGATGGATATGAATGGAGGACGATGTTCTCTGATCGTTATAACGATCGAAATATATTACAAACTTTAACAAATAATATATCTCGTCGTTATTCATAATGAGAATAGATGACAAGATTTCCAATGTTGCATGCTCCTTGATAGTACTACCGATTGATTTATGATTTATGGACGGTAGCGCTCACAACTTTCGGTTCCAATTATAGACGACTCGAGAGACTGTTTTCTATCCAAGTTCGAGTTTATTATTAGAAAGAATCCAAAACTAATCGAGATGAAAACAGTTTCAGAATATATTTTATTGATAAAAACATTTCTGGTGCCATCTATAGGAACAACTTATCTAAATATTGGAGTCCATTTAGACTTGGACCCTGTAGCCATTACAGATGGCTCAGACGCATCAACATTAAACAAGTGTGTCGAGAACAGCTCAATTCTGTCAGTTTTAACAGAATTCAAAAATATTCATCCGTTTTGATGCCCTATATCGTGATGCAATAGCGGCAGAAAAACGGCGATAAACCGATGGAATACCAGCGATTTTTGTCCGATTCAAATCGCACAGGGAGAAGATGTGTTTACAAATCTGGTTTATTTATTTTTCTTGCTCTAAACAAATTTTACAAAGAAAACTTCTCATTAGACAATTTGTATGGTTAGTTGTAACAGAATAAAGTTATAAATACACTTTATTGATCAATTTTGTGACTTTCAGTATGTATACCAATCAAATATTGTACTCAGCGAGATATTTTTCCTTTCAGAATAATAATAAGTAGAGGACAAGGTATTAAAAAGAAACGGTCACACATATTTTGCTTGATCAGAAAATCCATGGAAATTATTTGATAAATCTATAGTTAATTATAGTTCAGTTTCTATCCAAACTTTTACTGTATAAGTTGCAATATTATCTGGTTTTGTTTACCATGTGTTTGGTCTGCTCAAATAACATATCTAGTTTTTCTATCTATCAACTATTTTTCAAATTTCTGCTCAAATAATAGTCAAGTAATGTCAACTGAACAAGTTTGAAATAGGTTCGAAAGGTCATTCAAATCAAAAATTCATGTTACCTTTTCACTATCAAAAGGTTTCTTCATCACATTCGTCCAATAGACGTTGACTAATGCCAAATTAGAAGAAATAATTTAATACTTAATTTTCATTGTATATATACTTTTCCGAATATATCAGTTGATTGGTACATTGATTTGCTCCTGTGAAAGTATAAATGATATATTGATCTTGTCTGTTTTATTATAAAAAAAACACTATGAACTCATTGATCATCGGCACATGTGTCAGAAAACGTCGATTGGTTCATTTGTTTAGTTGCAGATAATAGACTATAATTTCATCATTATTTTTTCGATCATGTCAATCGCAATAGACTTTCATTAATCAGAAAAAAAACACTTTTAGTAGTGATAATCATAATTAGAAGTCTAACAGATCTATATTACTTTTGATTTTAGCAATGATCGAAAAATTCTTTTACAGTTTATCATATATTGAATAAAAAGAAAATTAGATTGCTAAACAAATACATCTAAAAAATAGTTATAAGGACCTAAAATTCTAATTGTAACACTGTATGTAGTTAAAACAATATCATTGTTCTTTTTCTTTGTTAAATATGGACACACAATGTTTATGACAGAACTTCATATTTTTTCCTCAATTAGTTCATTAAATATATTAAAAATGTTCGCACTCAAAAACAGAATTTTTTTTTTCTCGATGTTAATTCTTTCTTTTTGGTCTTATTTTCGACGGTTTCCTATTGTCTTCAATCATTAGGTGTTTCACATTATTATATCATTTTGATATGCATGGCTTCCTTGTCTTCTTGCAAAAAGTGGTTGTGTACTTTCACTTAATTATTATCAGTATCATATCACTATAAACAATAACAACAACACTAGCATCTTGAGTTGGTACATAGTCTTCCATAGACAGGCTAGGTTTGGGTGAACCTCTGATTTAAAGCATTGAACAATTAACTATCAACATATCTGAAGAAGGATGGTTTTGGTGATGTCATAACATTTATGAATGAAATATATCATTGTTGCCAAGCACATATTTCATTATAGAATTGAAAACCATCTATAACATCTTGACAATGTTCGATAATTAATTAAGCTATTTATTAAAAAGCAACAAAATTTTCCTAAATATTCAATGCAGCTACAGTAACTGCATGTTCTTGCTCTCGTTTTTTTCTTAATTCTTCATCTTTACGTTTATATGTAATTCGAGCACATGCAACCATCAGAATACATATTCCAATCATTAAAAGTACTAATAAATTCATTAATTTATATCGATTTGGAGCAACTGCAAGAAAACAAAGTGTTACAACATTAAAAAAGTATACAAGTATTGATGTTGTTAAAGATTCCGGTAATGGATGCATGATTTCAGCTAAACTTTCATAAAATAGAGGTGTTGTAGCTCCAAAGAAAAAGCCAGTAATAGATAATAGAATTCCAATAGAAGTAGAATTTGACGGTAATATAGGTTTATTAGGCCAAATAACAGTACGCACACTAAGTTGAAAGAATAGACAAAATATAAAACAGAAAGTAAGAGAAGTAAGTATAAGTAATTTAAATGAACGTTGAAATCGTGGAAGATCAGCTATGTAACCCATGATCCATGAACCAATGATACTGGCTACCGTTTGACCAAAACCAAACCAACCTGTTGTTATTTTTTTTTTTACAGAAAGAATGATTATTCTGTTAGATTAGAAAAAGAATAAAAAAGAGTCTTACCAGCTTCGATTTCTGTATGGCCTAATGGTGTAAGAATAGTAGCAAATAGTCCACTCCATGCAGCAAATGTACCGCCCATGGCAGCACCCGATATAATCATAAGAACACAAGATATATTTTGACAACAATAAAAAATATCAAGTGCAAGTTTTTTCAATCGTTCAATCAATTGTGTTTTTATTAATCGATTTGTATTCAATAGATCAGCTGCAACAGATGGAGGAGAAGGTGGCTCTGCTGGAAAATAGGCAAGAGTAAGAATACATGCAAGGACAGCTTGTCCAGTATGCATATATAATAAATGAGGAACACGCCAAGCTTCTGATACAAGACGTGGTTCAATAATAAATGCAACAGCACCACCTGAACTTGCACCAAGAATAGCGAAAGTCGTTGCGCGTGTTCGTTCATCTGGAGCAAACCAAATACATGAAAG